GAAACAATAAGCTACTAGGAACAAGTGCATCGCTAGTAGTAACAAGTGCCTTACTAGTAGTAACAAGGACGCTAGTAGAAACAATAATTCATTGGAAACAATAAGCTACTAGGAACAAGTGCATGGCTAGTAGTATCAAGTCCCTTACTAGTAGTAACAAGGACGCTAGTAGAAACAATAAGCTACTAGGAACAAGTGCATCGCTAGTAGTAACAAGTCCCTTACTAGTAGTAACAAGGACGCTAGTAGAAACAATAAGCTAATAGACCGTGGGCCTGGACTGCCCGTGCGCGTTTGCGCTGGAGCAAACCAAACCAGGGTTCCGGGGGTCCGAAGATGGGATTCTCTCCAATCCCTTTTCCAGATCGGCAGATCTTCACTTCATCCACTTCGCGTATCACTCATCGTTTGGGGGGCACAGACCTCTTATAAATAGTTAGTTATATCATGTTATATCATTATATCGCTGCTGCCTTGGTGCAACAAGAGCTACTCAGGGTTTGCCTTTACAGGCTAGAAAGATCAGGTCCACAATGTTCAGAAGGGGTTGTCAGTGTCTAGATCTTTGTCCTTGCAACCCTTGTAACTGTCCACTCGTAGGAACAGTTCTTCTGTGCTTTGCTTCCGGCATGAAAGCAGGGCTCGGCAAGATGTTGTTTTTTCTCTTAAGCCATATGTTTGGCTCAACTGCTGTAAACCCGGCTTGGGTCCTAAGCTGGGTTTACAGCCTTTGAGCCAAACATATAGTCTTGTTTTATCTCAGAATCCTTTTTGGGAAATGGCAACTCTTGCAGGCCAGAGGTGAGAAACTGTGCCGCACGGGCGTCCCAGACGGAGAGGATCGCGTTATGTGGCAGTTCTGGCAGGCTACCAGGTTCCACCCTTCCCAAATCGTATGAAACAGGTTCTTGGTTTCACATTGGGCTGGGGGGTGTTCGAAGGACCCGTGTAGAGGCTGGGAACGTTCATGTTGGAGAGAGGCCTTCATTCTGAACTAGGTGAAATCGAGAAATCGTATGTCAAGAAAATGCGGCCATGCATGGTTTCTTTCGTTCAATTTTATAAAGGGTTGCCCAAGGGCACAAGCAGGGTGGGCAATCGACCAAGTTGCTATTAGAGTTATAGACTGATTATGACTGATTTGTCGATGCGTTGTTTTTCTTCTCGCCGTGGAAGTGGAAGATTGCAAAGGTGCCAATCAGAAGTCAATGCAACAACTTCTTCAGATCTAGGGTTTGCAGCACCAGAGATCACCAGAGTTACCAACTCGTCAGCTGTCCATTTTTCTTCGCTTCTTTTGGCCAACCCATCGGGAAAACACACACACACACACCTACCTTTTCCTGGCCGACTTGGCTCTGAACAGCGCTGAAAGTCGGCGCTGAAGTCCCAAGTGTCGGCTCCTTTGGAAGGCCGGGGCGTGGACTGGCCGAGGTCATCAGTTTTGGTTTGAAAGGCTACCACACACGCAAGACTTGCCATAATCCCAGACTCTGAATTTGTGGAGTTTGGGGGGGGCTTTGTGGAAGGAGGTGGAAGATCTTCGAGGCAGAGGATGTACGACATGTGTGACCTCGAATATGTTTCAATGTGTTCATCCTTTAGTAGAGTCCTTGCTCCTAGTAGCGATGCCCATTGCTCCTAGTTGTGAGGCTCACATTTTGCGCCGATGGCCATGGGCCAACGATCGCTTCCTCGGTCGGCAGGATGCCAACCTTTGGACAGAGGACTGCCACCCAAATCATTGAGTCGGTGGCCAGCAATGCGCCAGGTGCCGCTTTTGGGTTTTTCTTCGTGGTTGGTTTGACCATTTAATTTGCCGTTCACGGTTGTGTGGTTTAACGGTTTACCCATGTTGAACCCGTTTTGCCAAGGAATGTGAACGATTCTTGATCATAACAGTTTGCATGAGTCATTGATGTATTTAGTATATATCGCGTCTTGTGTCACCAGATAGTCACAGATTCAGGGACATCATTGAGACCATGAGACATGACCCCTTGAAAGACTCTTAGACGTCATTGAATCATGAATTGCGAGAATTGGCCGATCAGCACGCTGCACCTGTCGACTTCAATTGGGAGTTGTTCGTTGCAATCCTGCAGGTGAAACGCTGGACTTGACGAAGAATGCCTCTTTCTGCATGTGGCGACCCTAGCTGGTGACAGATATAGAAAATCGCAAGGAGATGCAATCTAACCATATCGAGACTTCAACATCTGCCAACCATACCTTTTGCATGTCTTTCTCGGGTGCTGCTTAGCAACCGGCCGACGCGTTGTCGGACGTTCGGCCACTTTTCGGCCGTTGGGCCGAGGAAATCCTTGGAGAACACGATCGCCCTGTCTGAAGCCTTGAAGAAGAACACGGTCATTAAGAGCCTGGGTGTGCCAGCATTGTACGGATGTGCGTTCGGTTCTTTGCCTTCATGTGAGGCACCGTAGTTCTCAGAGCGCGAGAAGTTCTCACCGTAGAAATGGTCCAAGGGTCGGACTTTGGTCATTTGAAGATGACCCGATGTTTGAGGGTTGGACCAGGTCGGTTCTCATGTGTGGAGTGAGGTGTGTGCAGCGCTTGGACTGGATTGGGAACTGCTGAACATTTGCGCACCCCAAAGCGGCTGTTTGGGGGGGAAACCCTGTTTTCCAGTTGTTTGGGCTTCCGGGACGTTCCAGGTGCATAGCGTATCTATTCATCAGCGTATCGATTCGTAGGTGTGGCCCGGCCCTGCATCGAGGACTCTCGTGCTGCGGGAGTGCGAGATCACCGATGCTGGAGCTGAGGCGGTTCAGTTGGTGACCGATAATATATAATTAATTCAAGCATATGTTCAGGGACAAATGAGTAGACAACTACCCCCCCAGTCGCATTCTCAATTCAGATTGGCTCACTGCCTTGCAGGCGCTGGGTCAGGCCTTGGCTGAAAACCAAACCATTGAGGACCTGGATCTACAGCAGCTAGCATGCAGGAATCCTTTCCTTCGGTGACACCCGCCTTCCCGAGATGTGGCACATTCTTGCTGCTAGTATGCTTAGCATACGAAAGGAGAGCTTAGCATGCTTTTGGGCCGTCACACAGTCTTGCATTTCGCTTTAGTTGTTCTCATTGATATCTTGTTTCAGCAATGGTCCAATCGTCGATTCTTGGCTCCCTCGAGGCAGAATCATTTGTCCAATGCTGGGGTCATCTCACTGGCGAATGGCCTTCGAAGCAACAGGAGTGTGAAGACATTGAACCTCATGACTCAGATGCATGGCATCAATACAACCTTGTAGGAACCTGCGCGTCACGGCACAGTCTTCCAGGTTGGAAGATTCAACCGGGTGGCTTTGCCCTTTTCACCCACCACTTCAGAACACTTCAGATAGGGTTTGCCAAGAGGTTTGGTCCCAGAGGTGTGACGATTAAGCAATCAATTGTATAGGATAGAGCTAACCACTCTCCAACTTAGTCTCCACTTATGAATGCCCTTTTTCATGCCTTCATGCCTGACAGAAAGGTGGCCTTCTGGGAGACGGATGGATCTAAGAGGGCGAAGACCTAATGGATTTCTCGGCCTTCCTGGAACTTTGGGAGCATTCCTGGAACAGACGCCATCAATGTATTGTATTATCATCCTTGTCCTTGTGCAACATTTAGTACTTCTACTATATACCTAGGGATCATCCAAATGTGCAAATTTGATGCATTTCAAAGGCTGGTTCTTTGGATGAACAGAATCATAACTTATCATCGTTCTTGACATTCCTCCCAGCACTGCCCTCGAGCGATCCAGCTCCAACTGATGAGGTTCCGGTCCTTGAGTCTGAGGAATCACAAGCTCAGTGAGGATGCGCTTGAGGGTTTCATCAATATGTTTCAGAGCAACGTCACCCTGACGAAGCTCATGTGGAAGGCCGGCCCTGACGCTTCGTGGGCTGGGCGGTTTTCAGAGTGACCTGCATGCCATGACCCGCGGCCATGCACTTCATCCATTCAATCTCAAGGATCAAAGAGGTGAGTACTGTCCCCGATGAACCCGAGAACATCGGCCTTATCCCACGCGCTGCTTCCTGATCCTCACCATGCACCCTCCTCGACTCCCTCAGGTGGATTCTCGTCGTGCCTGGGAGCTGTCCAAGCTCATCACCCGAAACGTGGAGATCGCCCACCGCGCCCGCACCGGCGGCGATGCCGACAGCTTGGCTCCACGGCCAGCGCCCACGCCCGTGCCGGCACCAGTGAAGGCGGTGAAAACAGTGACGGCAGAGGTCGAGAAGGGGTCAGCGTATAAGGCCAGGGAAGACACTTGGGATTGATCTTGGTGGATGGTGGTGACAGATGGAACTGACGTTCGTCATGTTGAAGGAAGTCGTCACAAACCTGAGTGGGACAAGTGTTTTGCACAACAGTTCTCCATTGACGTGTTGCTGAAGCATGTCTTGCAGTCTTGCGACATTTTGTGGGCCAGACGCTAGCTATGATAATTTCATACTGGTTTTGTACGTTAAGCTCCTACAATGCCAGTAAAGTTGATGCCACTACTGAAGGCAAGAGCTCCGGGACCATTCCGTGGGAATTGCTCTCCGGAACTCACAGAGGGGATGGCACTATATAAAGGATATTAACGGATTGCATGTTCTAAAACAGTGGATAACTCCAAAACCTTTTTGCAACAGTTGAGCCGCTTCAAAAGGCTGCGTTGTCAGGGTGCAGGGTCCAGCCATATTTCTGTTGTTGTTTTTTCCTGGCCAGGCGGAGCAACCGAAGGCGGCGCCAGGCAGAAAAATAGAGCCGACCCAGCAAAATAGAAAAAAGTATCTACTACCTGCTGACATTTGTCTACTAGCATGTAGTATGCATGTACTATATGTTTATTCTTCTATCAAAAATGCACCTATACGTTCCTAGCTACTGGTATCTACTGGGCCGTCCACGGGACCAACAAGACTAAGGTGGACACAGATATGCAGATAAAAGGTGTATAAATTCGTCTCCAGGCCCCTTGTCCTCGGGTTGGCTGCACTTTGGCCCTTTGAATGATGGAACAAGCCGAAGTCTTGGGGCCATGTAGATCAGGAAAGGCATGCTGTTTTGTGTTTGCTTAGGACTTGGAATAGCCTAACAGACTAACACCATTCCTTCAATTCTCATGAACTTCCAGATCTTTGCCATCGCTTCAGGCGCCTCCCCTCCTGTGGCACCAGTGGCCCCGGTGACATCGCCATGTCCAAGTGCAGGCACCGAGACTTTGGAGCGTTGAAGTGTGCAGAGTGGAGGTTCACTGCTATGGGTGTCAGGCTTGATGTCCGTTCGAGGGCAAGGAGGGCGAGATAGGGCGAGGGTCCAAATTCTATTTGTCTATTGGTTCATATTCCATTTGCTGAACCCTACGGGTTATTTTATTGATCTACTGCTACTGATTTGGCACAAGATGTGCAAGAATCCTGAATTTGTTGAATGAAACATGCCGACCAAGTGATACAGGACCTTTGGACCTGCAGCGATGCAGATGCCAACCAGTTGCCGCTGGAAGCGGTCGCAGCCCGGCACCGTCGCGAGGTGATTTCCGTCAGCTGCCTGATGCAGCTTGGGCCACGATCCACCAGGGCTTTCAGTGAGATCACCGTGGAGGTCCATCAGCGAAGCTGGTGGATCCAAGGGTCAAGATGAGATGGGTCTGCTCGCTGCTCATGTTGCCCCAGACTTTTCGATTTGGATGGGTTTCATATGTTGTAGCTTTACTTCGGAAATCCGGAGGGGCTACACTGGGTCCGCTTTTGGCTTTTGCATGCGGCAGGCATTTGAAGGTTGGAAACGTCGGCATGTCATTGTTTGAACAATAGCATCGCGGGATTGAAAGCTATCCATGCTGGTGGCTTGGCACCAAGTACTCAGGTTCTGCCTTCAACCGTTCAACCATTTGTTCTGTTCTGTTGAGCGCCTTCAAGTTCTGCAGAACGTGCTTGCTATTGCGCGGTGCGCGGGTCTCTCCACACAGGGTGGGGATTTGCGGCGCAAGGCGGCGCAATCATGTGCAACGGGCAGAATCACTTAGTGGGAGAGTTGTGGCCGTGAACCAAGGCCTTTCTCTTGAGATTGAATTGATTGTGGAGAAATGATATAAATTCACTTTGAAGACCTTCGCTTGAAAAAAGGCTTCGGCAGATCAGAAGCAGATTGAGAGTTGAAGCTGACTGGCTGTTCACCAATTGCTGATCACCGTGAAACAGATGTGGTTTGTTTCAGACAGCCATAACCGCTTGGTTGAAGCAGTGGGGCCCAATTTCTGATTGGAGGTGTAGCAAAACCAGATGGCCAAGCGAACTCCTAGCTTTGGAGGTTCCCGCAACGTCCACGATGATCGACTAAATCAACATCTTCGAACTTCAAAGAGATTTAGGTTGCCAGCGTCCGCGAAGTTCCAAAAATGGATCCGAAGCGGTATAAATGGATCGATCGCTCTCACCACATGGATCAGAAGTTTATCTATCGAATTTTATTCGGTCCGTCGCGTCCATGCGACTCACTGCGTCGACGTCCGCGTGAGCGGTCCGTTTGAGGTGAAGAGCCTGGCCACCGCCCTGCTCTCCCACGGTTCCAAGGCCGCTGTCTTGGCCTTTTCTTTTCGATACCTGTTGACCTGGTGAGATCTGGTTGTTTGGGACAGAAATCCAACATTTCAGCCTATGTCGTTGCACATCATTTTACTATTGTCCAGGCCAGCTTCCCATTCATCAGTGACATGCGCCAAGCGTGCCCGATTGATTTCAGGTCGGCCTGGCGGGCTATCAGCGCTGCCTGTCGGAGATCCTCTTGAAGGTTGGAGAGCAGTGGTGGCGACGTGCGAAGAAGGGGATCCCAACGATTTTGGAGGTGGAAGTTTCGCAGCATGCGCCATAGCCTGCGACCCTGTTCTTCTAGCAGCATGTTTTGATATATATGTGACTCTTCCAAGAAAAACATGCTGTTACTACTACGCCACCATTTGAGAAATCGTCGATAGCAGCAGCAGGGAGATTGAACATACATGAACATACCAAGAATCTGATTACTGTAATGTTAAATTCCCGTACAACGGCCATGTCACGTCACGTAATTCGGCAGCTTTTGCTTTGGAAATTGTTGCAATTGCACAACCCTGAGAGAGCTTCTTCCTTCTCATTACGATCAGAATTCTCACAGTAACTCTCACATAAAGAGTAAGAGATGTGAGAGAGATAGAGAGAGAGAAAGAAGGAACGCCAAACGCGAAAGCATTTTGCATCATTTTGCACAAAGTCTCAAGAGAACATAGACCCTTGGAGCGCTTGGAGGTGGTTCTCAGGCTGATGGGCGGCCATACATACTGCTAGGTCTGGCTAGCTAGTTTCGAGCCTATATGCTTGTTTGTTGGAGCAAGAGGTACCAATCATGGCCATGTGTTTGATTCCTCCAGAAAGTAGCGAAGTAGGATTTTGGTCAGGTACCCCGGTATCCCCAATGGATATTTGAGTGTAGCAATTGCATGATACAATTCACCGTTTGCTAGATCAATGATGAATGTTCTGGAACACGTTGGAATCCATTCTGCAAGGTGGAGGGGGATGGTCCGACATGGTATACTGAAGTGATCTCAATTTTCCCAGCGGTTCACTGTCCCAGCTCACGAACTCCGGCGATGCGCTTCGCAGCTAAGATCCGCAGGTCTTGGCAGAGATCCAAGCAGCCCGCTGCGCCACCAGCAACGCCAGGCTGTGGGGGCTGCAGGTGTGTGGCCGTTGGTGTGTTTGGTTTCCTGGCACTGGTCAAAAGTCCTCGGAATCGACTGAACCGCGGCTGCACGCACCGTACGATTCCGTGCGATCAGCCATGTTTGAAAGCCAAGTGCACTAGTTTCTTGCCATTTCATTGCAGTCCCTTCCGAATAAAGCCACATCTTTCCAATTAGAGGCTTTTGTTGAGCTACGCTTGCAGGACATAGTTGGATCTAGAACTTGTGTTAATTAACTTGTGCTCAATGGACCACTGTAGATGTCCTGAATCGCATGTGTGGAGCAAACTGAGTTTTTATGGCTACTACCTCCTTGACATATTATTTGGAGGGGTGGGGTATGTTCGCCAAATAGTTATTTTCAAATAATTTTGTTGAGACGTTAGTTGTTGAGTATGAGATGAGGTGGGTCTATAAGTTTGTTCAAATAATATATTGAGAACAGCTGGGTATACCCAGAAATAGTTTACTAAGAACACCTAGACCACCCCCAAATATTGTACTGAACATCTACATCTTGGATGACTGATGGAGGTTGTAAAAAAAGTTGCAAATTCAGGCCAACATTTTTTGGGTTGCACTCTAATATGTTTAACATATGTTTCCAATAGATTGTCAAGTTGTTTTTTTTACATCATGTGTACTGAGCAACAAATAACTATTTGAAAACACACACACACTGATGGGAGCCAAATAATAAACCAGAAATGACCCTGACCACCTAAGAATAGTTAATTGATTATTTGGAGGTGTGGGAGTAGGGGGTACCCTGAAGGCAGTACACATAGTTTTTTCATCCAGGCCGTCCTTCAAGAAATCCAAAGGTGGAATGGAATTTGCTGAAATCGATGCCACATGTTTCCTGTGCTCTTCGATCCAACATTCCCCTGCATCCCATGTATATAATTAATCCCTTTCCCTTTTTCATACTCTTTCATGGTCTTTCTGGCACGTTCCCCTTCCTTTCTGAACGTGCCAGCTCGACGGTCTCGCAACTCATCGTCCACCACTCACGGGACACTCCGGAGAAGCAGTGGGACGTCGCTGGCCCCAGTGGGCGAAGGCTTGCCGGAAAAGCGCATGAGCAACACGAGGTGTGAAGGAAGCAAACCTCCACCATCCTCCACCACTTATACATACTTATACTGTATAGTAAAACCATGTGAAACCTCCTTTTACAATATTTTTTGCTACGTCAGCCGAGGGCTGTGAATCACGGAAACAAAATGGATTCTTTTTTGATACCCAACGAGGTTCTAGATCATTTTTGCCTCAAGACAGCAAGCAAACATGATCTGTATTTTGTGACCGATCACCGGCTCCGGTTTTTCGCGGTTTTAGGGAGAACTCGAGTCCGGTTGAAATGACCGTGCTTTTGGAGTTGAACACATGCCGATCCATGGCCGAAACCATGAAATGAAATACGGTTCATCCACTGGTTCACGCGTGGTGTTTTTGTTGGTCTTTGTTAACTCCGAACCGGCACGCCCAGGGGTTGGCTCGAACGGCCAGTCGGGTTCTGCCGGTGGGCATACGTAAGAGGTGCCCTGTCGGTAGAGATGGTGGATCCAGGGCAGATGGCACTTGCAGAGCGTTGGACAACTTCACGGGCCGTTCTTCCTGGGATGCCTGGGAATAGTGACATCATAGCATTAATATGCATTAATATGCGTCAATCATACAGTTAGAAGCAGATAAAAGCAAATCGCCACATGTTTAACTTCAGATTCTGCAAGGTTGTTAGATTCGGGACTTTGGTGGCTTGCTCTCGCCCATTTTCGCCATGGCCATCGTCCAGCCGGAGCCTCTCCTGCCACCAGTGATCACAGAGGAGTTCTCCAGCGCTGTGGTGCACGACTTGATTCAACATGGCTTTTGCAAGCTCCGCGTGCCTGAGTTGGAACAGCCAGCGCTGGTGACCCAGCTTGCAGTCAGGGGAGCCTTTCATGTTTCGTGTTTTTGGGGGGGTTGTAAGTGATGTTGGCCATTTTGGATTGGTGGCATGGCATGTCACAGCTCAAGCGGCCGATAGATTATATCAGAGGCAAACGCCCGGATGGGTAGTGCACAGAAAGAGTTTTGCAAACAACAATTCTACTAACATCGTGAAAGGTCCAGGACATTCATGGAACCCGGGGCTATTCGTGGACGTTTCGTGGAATGGTGGCCAGTAAGGAAACTGACTGCAACCAAAACCCACAAACCTTCACAGAACTTCGTGGAAGGTATTTTTGATGCACTAACTTCGTCTAAGCCATTTTTGCTGACCCCGGCCCTTTCTCCACACACCCTCCATAAAGCCTTCATTATAGCCAAGATCAAAGTGTCCTTCCAGACTCCCTGAGTATTTGAAGTAAATACACCTGTGGGGTCATGCAGATTCCGTTGGAACCTCACGTCAATGTTTCAGGTCGTGGAGACGGCGCATCAGCTCACCGCAGCCACGTTGCCTCACTTGGAGCTTGAGGAGGGTGTTCTAGGGCGACGCTCCAAAAGCAAGGCAACAGCGAACGGCCCAAACGGACGACCGGACCACGAACGTCACATGCGAGAAGAGTCGTTGCGGTTGCGGGTGGACGGTGAAATATGGAGCTGATGGGAAGACTGCTATTCATCCTCGAACTAGTGGTTTCCAGGATCCACTTTGGTCGTCAGAGGTGGATGGAGGTGGTAGGTAAGTATGTTGTGCGGTGTGCGCTTATGAACTCTTCTCAATCTGCTTGAGGCATGACCCTTCAATCCCTCTAAGCTGCCAACAAGGCGGCTGTTCAACACATCCACTCCTTCCTCACTCCTAGCCCCTTTCCCGGTTTTTGTTGGTTGAGTCTGGAGAATGCAAGTTCCCCGACCAGCGAACTCATCATGAATTAAGACTCGTTGACTCTTCCGAGGTGAACGCCCCGCGTGAACAGCCAGACAAGAAGGGAACGGCAAACTGGCATGGAACCTGAGAATAGACCCACTAATAGACCCGTGGAAGACAATTTTCTATTTTAATCTGCAGGGGAGTACTTTCTCATTGTTCTCCTGAGTAGGAACAAGCAAGCTCGAACCTGAAAGTGGACAACACCGACATCTCATTCAACCGATTTTCCCGAAAGTGTTGTCAAAGCAAACAGCCTTCAGATATGCCACAAATATGGTGATGGGATGCGGTGGGATCAGTCTCCATGAACCATGCTGCACCAAAATCATCCGAAAGCCTTACAACAAAGATGAACAATGATATAGACTTGTGGAGTGAACAAAGATGAACAAAGCATCCCGAGTCCAAAACAGACTGGAACTCCTCACCGCCTCACACCCTAACACACCTCCTCAGGTCAGAAACAATCGCTGCTTAGCGTTGTTCACTGCTTAGCTTTCTTCTAGGCCTATTTCTTGGACCGCTTCGTGGAAGAGGCACCTGAGCCTTTGGCCGGTTGCATCCGCCGCATGACCCAGCTGGCCGAGGCCGTCGGTCCAGGCTTTAGCGGCTTGGAAGTAGAAGATCTGGGTCTGAGGGGTGGAGTTCAGGGTCGCAAGACGACCGTGATTGTTCCTCGGTCAACAGATTGGCACTACCAAGCTCGGCCTGGAAGAGAATGAAAGGCGATGATATGATCAGGAATGGGAGCTGCAGCATGTGTGGTTGTTTGAATCCATTGAGGTGTGTCAGAGGGACCGAAAGGGACGTCAGATGATCGATGATGGGATTCTGATGGGATTGGGTGATCCGGACCTGCAGGCCAGCACGCCATCGTTTCTTTTGTTTGGGATTGATTGGCACCTAGCACGCCCTGAATTAGGGCATGGTGTTCTTAATATGTATCAAGCCATGTCAGCTGTTCTGTGTTACACCCGCAGCTCTTCCCAGATTTCACTTTGCTGTGTAACCGTAGCCATCAGCTCGGCCGACAAGGCCGCGAAGTGGGCTTTCAGCCACTGCTGGGTTTGCAGCAGCTTTTGCTGCGAGAGCCACTGCAACGCGGGGAGCGACGTTTGCTGAGCCCTGGTCCGCTCACTGAAGAGGAAGTCGAGCAAGGCTACGTGGAAGCCTGGCTTTTCTGAGTGCTGACATCCCTTTTTCAGCCACGCGTTGGAGATGGGTCGTTCGAAGCCTCCCACCTCTTTTAAACCCACAAACATTGGCTTGAGAATGGCTTGAGATGTTTCCAGCATTGTTCAGCATGCTTTCCAGGAACAGTATCTGACTTTCCTGCAGTCTCGGCGGCTTTGCTTCCTCTACATCGTGCAGGCAGCAGCAGAGAACTACGTCGAGCTCTTCCAGCAGGGTAGCAAGACGCCAACCAAGGTTCGGTTGTGGTAGACCAAAAGGATCGCTTGGGATACCCAATACGTTATACGTTATTAAATATCAGTTTAACATGTTCAACTGTAACTCATTTCTTTATATAGCAACTAAACCATGTTGGTCTTCTTTTCTATCTTAGATGGTGCAGATTACTGTGATTGACAATAGTGAGTGATTGAACATATTGACTGACGGTGACTCAAGAGTTCTTCAGCACGCGCATTTTTGCAGCTGGGAATCCTGAATTGCCTCTGAGGTGGTCTTGGGAAAGGTTACTTGGCAGTGCGATTCAGAGCCTTTTTCTATTTGTACGATTCACATTCCTCTAGGACTCAGCCCCAAGTGCTTTTGAGCCAACTTCTCTGGTTATGCTTGTCGTTCAGGGGAAGAACTCCGAACCGCCCCCCCCCCACACACACAGATCTGATGATATTAGTTCTTAGTGATGATATTCTGATGATCTGTTCTTTTCTTACGCGAGTCCGTGAGGATAGCCTGGTGATCTTCCGCCACGACCAGCTCTCTTATTCTTACCAAGGCTCTGGTGTCGCCCTGCAGGGCTGGCTGGTGGCCTTGCGAGACCGCTTCGATCTGGAGGGCCTCGAGGGGGATTACAGAGGCCGGTTGTCAGCGGGTGTCAAGAGACCCACCGGTTGAGCGGATGAGCATGTTAGAGCTGGTGCTTTTCTGCCTTGCGTTTAGGATCCACCAGATCTGAGCGACAGGTAGAAAAGGGTAGTTGGAAGATGTCGGGAGGTTTGCGAGGGGGTACAGTATGATGGCCCAAGCAGGGTATGGATATACACAGAAAATCACATATATATATATATATATATACAATATATTTATTGTTGTATATAGTGCACATGTAATGGTCTATTTATTGTGTGGGTATCCTGTTAGGGGTTATTAATTTGTGTTGTGCAGCGTTACGAGATGCATTGTATGTCATACTTTATGCACTTTATGCATGTTGAAACCAGCTGACACCCGAAGCCTACATTGCCTACATGTTGTACTCTTTATTTAAGGCTTATGAGAGTTGATCAGTGTGTGGCACGTTCTGAGGTATGGAGGAAGTTTATGGTACACCGATGATTCAAGGTCAAGCCGTTCCTGCTGGAGAGCAAGTGAACATCATGAGCATCGCTCCGATGTTGCCTGGCCGAGTCAATAACCTCAAGGCTCATCATCTCATGTTCTCTGCACAGACTGACACCTTCCTGGAGCTTCCAGCTCTACGATTCGACGTGGCCACATATTATACGGACGATCCAGAGGGCGACCCGAATGCAAGCTCGAAAGCCTACACCAAGCATGCGGGAGTGTTTCCGGATGACGAGATTTTGGGCTTTGATGCTCGCTTCTTTGGCATTCCGGAGAAACAGGCGCATTTGTGGCCACCCTGCTTACGCTTGTGCCTTGAAAAGTGCTACGAAGCTGCGCAACTGCAAGGATATTCCAGAGAGACCTTGCAAGGCCAAAACATGGCTTTGTACAATGCTGACATTGGAAACGAGTTCGATCCATTTATGGGCATCGAAACGGATCCCGACAACTGGGCTCAGGGCAGGTTACTGTCACTGCCGTCCTCAGGGATTCTGTCCTATCATTTGGGATTGAAAGGTCCAAGCTTGTCGATCGACACGGCTTCTCGTCCGACAGACTAGATGCTGCCTGAACCGAACCTGACACATGGACGAAATACCAGATTTTATATTATAGTAATGCAGCTTACAGTTGTATTAGAATTGGTCAGAGACCAGCAAATGATTGGATAGGCTAGACCTAGACCTTAGCTTTGAAGGGCGATGAACAGAGTGTGTGAATCGATGTCAACCTTCCAAGTTGTCCTTGCAACATGAGGCTTGCTCATCCTCTTTAGTCGCGAGCAATCTCCTTTACAACTACCTGCGCAAACGGCCAGATCCGACATTAAAAGAGGCCATTTGTTCTGGTATGCTCAATTGCCTGTCCGCAGGGTCATTTGTAACTTTTGCCTTGCACAGGACGTTTTGGTTTCGTCAAGGCAGTTTCTTTGGTGTGCACTATTTCTTTAATTTTGTGCATGCTGCATCAGCTGAAATATCCACATCATGAAGACATGAAATGTCTCGGGGCCCATGGTTTCGTGGAACTATTGACAATTCACACCGATTATATACTGCAACGACCCATCAACGACCCCCAAAAAACCATAAAAAACCTTCAGAACCCAAGAAAGCCTAATTATATCTACCGCAAAACGGTCGAAACCCTTGGGGTTTTACTGCCTGAGGTGGGTCTCTCTCAAGCCGGCATGTTGGGCCGCACCGGGCGCTGCAAGTCCTTCGACAACTCGGCCAACGGCTACGCCCGAGGGGAGGCGGTGATTGGAAGCGTTTGGAAGGTCGGAGAGGACCGGAGCGCGGTCGGGAAGCCACGCGGGCGGATTGGCCGGGGACAGGGGGGCAATGCATTTAGGAGCCATGCCTTGGGGCTGACTGGGATTGGATTCGCATAGGGATGGAACGGCTAAATTCAATGGGAGATCCTGATGAGTAATTAGACCTTGGATATCCTTGGATAGTCTGAGGTTATTGTGGTTGCGGGCGTGTTCTTTCTTGGGGAATGTAAGGCTTGAAGCTATCCTGATTTGGGGACCGCACGTCGTGAGTCTCAGCTGGAGGAGGCTCAAGATGTGGAAAATCGGCAGGCCAACTTCGTTTCGGGCTTTGTCAACCAGGACAGAGTTCCAATCGGTTCCGTGCTGTGATGAACCTCGCGGGAAAAAGCAACTGCACACTGCAGGGCCATCGCATCATCGCACCGCCCACAGGGGGGAAGTGACGGAACGGACCCAGTTCGGAGTTTTGTGGAAGGGAGGTGGCTCGGAGGTGACAACGGCGCAGACAGCAGAGCCCTTCGGTTTGGCTGATCCCCTGCGAGCGCCCAGCGAAGCTACGAAAACAACCAACGCATACCAACGCAACATACAGTTTATGTCTTGCACCTTGCTTTTACCGACTTTTACCTTTGGCTTTATATATTACCTTGAACTCATGGCCTGAACTACCTGTCTTTGCCAACCGCTTCGACCAGGATGGCCGCAGTGCCTCGTTGACCGCGCCCAATGGACCCTCCCAGCAGTTGTGCATCCGAACCTCCCACCGCCTAGCACAGAGCCTCGGGAACTGAGCGCGTGGGTGCCGTCAGAGGAAGAAGAATCATAATTAATGATCATGGAGTTTCGTTGGTGATCTCTGAAGATTTAGGATGCTAACCGTTGAATTGTAATGTTGAAGAATTATGCCAAACCAGAGTCCTTCCACCCCAAAGTTGGATAGAGATGCTTCATGCTTCGATGAGAGGCAGTGAGTCTGTCCAGGATTCTCCCAGCCGAGATTTGGACCACCGAGAACCACGGCACGGGCACCGCTCTGGGAGATCCCATTGAAGTGGGATCAGTGCGTGCATGTGCCATGCTCGGAGTTCAGACGCGGGATGAGTGGTTCGTAATTAGTGTAATAAGATGTAATTAGTATAAATTACTATATAATATATATAATATATTAATATCATTATATATCATTATAATGGTTTCTCTCATTTCTCAATACTTGTTACAATGAAATGCCCCTAAAGCCAGCATGTTTGGCGTATATAGGTCTTTTCGGAGGTAGACTGCTCAAGCCTCAAAGGCGGTGCGAATTCCCACCTGGTCTTTATAGAGGGAAAAGGACCGTCAAGCGTATGTTTAATACAGGATCTAGTCTGATGCAAATTGTCGTAGAGTCCTAAGCGACTTTGGTTTTGAAGTCCCTGTGCCCTGGGTGGTTCCGATCTTCGCGGGTCCCCCTATTTGGGAGTCACCCTATACTTAACACAAAATCAAAATAAATCATTGCTTGTTCCTCACCTGCCTTGTCAGAGCTGTCCTTTCTCCTCCTCTCCCCGCCTCCTCCTCCATAAGTACTAGATGGCAGTGGGGGATCATGGACCTCAACCACGAGCGCCAGATCGCAGTGGGCACCAGCCAGATGGAAAGAATGCCAGAAGAAAGAATGCCTGCAACTATGCCAGCCAAAAATAGAATGCCAGAATATACACCAGATTGAATGCCAGAATATAGCCAGATATATAGAATGTCAGTACGCCAGATAGAATGACAGTATGTACGCCAGCGAGAATACCAGATAGAATGCAAACATACCTGCCAAATAGTGTATACCAGAATAACCGCCAGATAGAATGCCGCAATATGTGCACCACATAGAATGGCATAGTACATGCCAGTATACTCTATACTTGCAAGAGAGACACTTTCGGTGATGCTGTTGCAATTTAACCGTCGGTTATCAGCAGGGGGGTCACTCGAAGTGAAGTGTTTCCTTCTTGTCTTCTTGTTGGGGGGGTGGACGTGCTGTTGAACAGGTAGAAGGGATCATGAATTAGCAAGTTAACATGCAAATCCAAACCCAGCCGAACCCACTTCGATTGGAGAAACTACCGCAAGCCCGGCTCAACTTCCATCTTCTCATCTTCGCACATTTTCCCATCTCACTGCCTGATTGAGGCTTCTCACGCGGCAGGGAGGTACCACTGGTGGTGACCACTGGGAAGAGCCACCAGGGACACTCAGAAGCTACAGCAGGGCTCAGTGGCATTACCAAGGTCGTGAACACCCTCAGGCCGCGCGACTTCTTGCACCCGTGGGCCTGCGCGGGGGCTTTTGTCTTGGAAGTGTGTGTGTGTGTGTGTGTGTGCGTGTGCAGGTGGTGGGTGGTCAGTGGGATGAACTTCAGGTGAGTTGGGAGTTTCACAGGTGTTTTGCGTATGCCGTTTGAGTTTATATGTGGGTGGGCCCATATCTGCCGTGCAACTGGGTTGGGCGTCATGCAATTCTGAATCGCTTTCACACTGCCTGGAGCTGTTTGATGTACTGTATACAATTTTTTAGTGAAACACATTGATTTCCGTGAGCCCTATGGCCCAGCTGTGCAGCAACAGCCAGTACAGCCCCAGAAATGTCAGCCAATGCCCACCCTCAGGGCCTCCGTCGCACCGTCGCAGAACCATTTGATGCTCGGTGGGAAAATGTTCGATGCCCAAGCAAAGGTGTAGAGTTGCATGGCCATGCTGGAAGGTGCAATTACTGTACGAATTGATTCTCAGAGGCTGCCAGCTGCCAACTCATGGGCAGCACTGCAGCACCATCATGTTCATCACTTTGTGTTGATGGTGCTGTGCTGGCTGGGCGGGCTGCAATTTGTTACAGACCCGGAATCGCTTCGCAAGCACCTCAAGCACAGCCACCTCATAGCAGAGAGTTCCTCATGTGAAAAGGCATGTTGGAGGCCTTTCCAGGATTCCATGTGGAATGCCTTGTTGGATTTCCTGGAGCTTAGGGGTGTCACCCCAGTTTAGAGCGTCTCCGGCAACAAACCATAGTCTCGCATATTCTCCTGCAACCTGTTTCTATGACTTCAGGAAATTCTTGAACGCCCACATCGACGATGCTGGTTTCGTGGCTCATTTTCCAATTGAGTGCTGCGAGCTGTATGTGGGAGAGAAAGGAGCTCTTGGTGGTTTGAATTCCTTTGGCAACTCGGCCAGAGAATTCAGCTGTGCTGTCTTGGAACACATTAAAATGCTTGTTTTTTGAGGCATGCTCACAAGGTCTCACAAGGGGTGCTCAAATTCATTCGTTGCCAAGATGACAAATCCCCGCAAAGTCCTTCGATCCCCACGCACCTGGCCCCACAAACCTCCAGAAACTCTAAAAGCCTCGATGCAGCCCTAAGGCTTTGGTGGCACCAACTCCCGTGGCGAAATTTGGGCCATGAGCCGCGATGTGCAGCGCCGTCGTGCACAGCAGGCCCTAGGGCGCCAGCGCCAGGCCGAGGCCCAGGGAGCCAAGGCCATCGCAGCAGTGACGGTGCCCTGCGCCAGCTGTGGCGAGCCCATGTGCTTCCGTTGTGGAATGGCCATGTCAGAACAGGTGAAGAACCATCGGTGTGGAGATATTCGGGAAGCTTCGGTTTTAGCCAGAGCCGTTTGGGTCACTTTGAGTCTTGCGAGGGTGAGTTTTGAAGCTCTCAACCAGAGCACAATGCCTTTGTTTCGTTTCTTTTTTTCTGGCACATCTCAGGAAGAGGTGGGATCCTATGACGTATGCAGCAACTGCTACCAAGGCAGCTTTCATTATCAAAGCCTGGTGGACTCCTGAAGGATCCGATTCGGCTCGGCATCCCACGCAGCGCCCGGCTTTTCTGCTGCGGCTTTTTAGGCCGATCGTGGTTTTCTGGGCGGTTTTAGACCGAAGCATCTCGCGCGCCACTGCTTCCAACAAAAGAGACGCTTCCAGTTTTGGATCTCATTGATGATCTTTGGATGGATTGGATGCTGCATGGAACAATTATTATTGGTTTTGATGATCTCACGATCTTGTTACAAAAAGCGCACAGATTGGCTTGATTGCACTCTGCCAGTCTTTCTAGGCATTTCGTTCGCCAATCGAGCATCGACGTCCCATGCCAACATGAGGATTATCAGTAAATAAACTGGGCGAAGTCACGTGGACTCTTGAGACACGAGTCGTGGAAGGCTGGGTGGCGAGAGAGCGACTCGCCATGTGAACGAGAGGAATGTCAGCAATCACCCTTTCTGAGAAGTGGAGATTGGTCGAAACAGAAGCCCCACAAAGGGCCTGGTGAAACCAAGTTGCAGTACTTACATGTAATGTTCATTGCAGCACAAACCCCGAAAGATGTGTTGATACATATTTAGATGACACAAATACACAAATATATATATATATATACATACATCTATATAGGGTGTAGTAGAGCACTTCTTTAGCAACTCAAGTATCTTGAGTACTTGAAATCACTCGAGTACTCAGCCGGCTAAAATGGACGCCATTGCCTCGGACGCCAATACCTCGCCATTCGTTCTCTAAGGAAACCTTGGCGTTGGCCTTTGATGGTGTTCGCAGGGTGGGGCCCCCCAACCGCTGTGTGGCTCTGTGGCTCGTGGCGCGGTGGGGTGAAGGGCAGGGCCTGGAGCAGTGGAAAAAAGGGAAGAGTTGAGGGCCTCATGGCTTCGACAAGTGGAAACATGCTTCCAGGACAACATGCCAAATGTATCAAAATGTATGCTTTCGGCCTTTCAGAAACTCATGGTGCTCAAATGCTTTTGATGATTTTGCTGGCTGGAAATCCGCCCTTGCCAAAACACACAGAGGTAGAAAGAGGACTTGAGATAAGTGCTTGAAAGGCCCTTGCAAGAGTGGCATGCCACCATCACCATTCGCACACGGAAGGTTTTGACTTTACGATCTTGAGTTTGGAGCCTGCATCAATTTGAGGTACTGAGCCACTTCTCAGAGCAAGCTGGAGCAGAGGCTTTTGCGCAGGGATTCCCAAATGCTGGGCCTACCCCGGGTTGGTGGACAAATCCTTTCCCAAGCAACAACACTGGGAGTATTTCGATGCAGTGAGCTTTCAAATGCTTTCGGTGGGGCCTAGGCGGCCTAGCTTCCCTTTTATACAAGGACACTGGGGCCCTGCTGGGCTGGGCCATGACGTGCCAAACATCCGAATCTCAAATGCCTATTGATGCCTATTGTCACCAACGGCTGCAAAGGTTGTGGAATATTGACCTGCATGCATTATGGAGCCTCGTCATAGCATGATAGTAGTGGAGGGTTGAGCGTTTCAAGCGAAACTGACTGATTCAACATGCCCAAGAGCTCTCTGGTGCCACCAGATCCCGCTTGCTTTCCATGAGCGAAGCTTCAAGGCCCCTGGCCTATGCCATGCTACTGCAGGTTCAGGAGGGATTAGGGTCTGCCACAGGTGTCCCAATGGTGGGCTCGTGCATGGCTTTTCTCTTGGGCTTTGGACATAAGACCGGCGGTCTTTAGTAAGTACAAATGCAAGGCCCAAGGCATACCCAACCAAAAATGTGGGCCCCTACTTTTCAGGTTGATCATGTGCCCATGTGCCTTCTTTCCTTCTTTGATGCAGTCGTTTGCGGTTTCCTTTTGTTGGCTTCTGTCTTGAACCACCAGGTCGAATTACCAAGCCATGCCATTGTTGTCCATTTTTTGATACATTACGGCATCTTCAGATCCCAAGCTCGTCGTCTCCGGACGCGTCAGGAGACTCTCAGGACCTTGGGCTCTGAGATTAGTACATCGGCCCGGGGCGCTTGGAACGGGTTTTGAGACTCGGATCTCCATGGGATTCGCACCTTCAAATCAGTCATGGATAACCATGACCAGGGTGAAAAGGGGTGACAAAATGAAGGGACTTGAATCAACTTGAAAGGAATCGAACCTTTGTCAGATTATGACGGACTTGGAATACTCCTTTCGCTTTGGGAAGCTTGTGGCCACAGAATGCGTGTGTGTGAGTGTGTGTGGTTATATAATCTTTCATACGACCAGGTCATTGGATGTATGTTTCTGTTTGTTTGTTTGTTTGTTTGTATTGTATGATGCGTTTGATCAGAATTTGGATGGAACATCCTGGGTCATGAGAGACGCACCACCCTGCCGCCCCGCACGTCGCTTCGCTGGAAGACCCAGAGCTCGTTGAGGCCATCCGAGCCCTCACAGACTTGATGAGGTGCGTGCACCCGGTGTGATGCTGTGGTTCTCGAATGAATGTCCATGAGAATGGGGGAGAGAACAACAGCCTTCGATCCGCATCCTCATTCAACTTATTAGTATAGAGTTGGTATAAAGATCGATTAGCAACAAGTTCATCAGGCCCAACCACCAGCCACAAAGATTCTTACAAACCTAGCTGTTCCTGTACAGTATATTTCCCCAATCTCCTGTAGATAAGTGCACAATGGACAATGGTGCTCATGATTCCCCATCCTTATTAGATCTTATTAGCTTCTCGGTCCGCCACTCTCTCCAAAAGATCCCCAACATGATCGTCGAGCGCGTGGAATCATGTGACTCCAAGGGGAAACACGTTGGATCCAAGACAGTGTGGTTTCCTTCTCCGGTTAGGATCCCTTCGGCCTTGCAGATGTTTGAGGCGCAGTCTTTTTCGGGCGTTTGTTGTGTGTTGTCGGGCGGAAGACACCGAAGGAGTTGGGTCGAATTGGAGGAAGTGTTCTACTTGGCCTGTCGTGGCCTGGTCAAGTTTTCAAGATGTTTCAAGTCAGGAGGAGCCTGACCTTTCTGTTTGCATCTATGGTTTCCACCCCACCCGGGATCCATCCCAGTTCACCATCCCATGAGTTCGAATGGTGCCTTGGTCCGGATCCTTGTACTCAGTACTGTCCATCCCAGCCCTTTGCCTCGGTCGCAGGTGGATCTCTTGACCCTTGATGAACGCTTGCCATTGCCAGGCTCGGTGACGAATGACAGGTCGGCTCGGTCGTTCAGCGGTAGCCGAGAGAGCGCTGAAGCGAAAACCCAGATGGAAGACGAGTAACGCTGAAGCCACCTCCGACGTAACATCGAGTTCGGAGAAGATGGGGCGAGACGAGCGATGGGGAACCGCTGAACCAAACGATGGTACAACCATGTCTTGACGGCTTTGTACAGTAGGAAAGGCACGATTTCGACATGTGGCTCAGACAGGTCGCGGAGGGCGGCGTCCCTTTTTAAAGGGTGGACGCCGTCCGTCCTCTTTGCAGCTTCATATTGACTTCAAATCTTTTGCAGTTAGAAGCATGAGCAATCCATGGCAGTTGAAGCCGATGTGACTTTAATGCACAATGTGCTTTTTGTATGGCTCACGCGGGGGGTGCCTTCAAACTTGGTTGGAGTGCGAGCAGGGTAGCCGCTAGTAGCCTGTTCAAAGGAGGCACAAGCAGCATTCAAGGAAACAAAGTTCTTTCATAGGTGTGCTTCATCATGCTTCATCCATATTTTGCAGCTACTGTGCCAATTGCCAACCTACAGTGGAGAACAAGACTGAACTCCCGTATCACTGTATCGTTCTCATTGCGTTTCGTGGTGCGTGGAGGAACATGCCTTTTGCGAACCCAGTCTGACAAGATGCACCATTTTTGACTACAACCTAGAAGTGGAAGGTGATAGTTTCACTAGAAAACAGAAAAGGACATGTGTCGGGGGGGGTTGCCAGTTCAGTGAGTTGAAGTGCAATGCGGCAATGCTGGTTGTGGTTTTCCAGGCGGAGTTCAACAAACATCTGTGTGGCTTCTCAGCTGGCGGGTGCTGCAGGGGGCCTCAGTCTGTCAGGGGTGGGGTGCAGTGAAGTATTGAGCAGACCCGTCATGCTTGGGATTGGAATCTTCAAGCACGTTCAAACACCAGCTCAATTTGATATGATTGGAGTGACAAAGACAACAAATGATCGGTCGCCTGGAGACTCGGATCGAACTCTTCCAAAGGGTTTTTGCACGGACCTGGTTCTTCTTGTTCAGTTCGTGGATGATTGATCAACCAATGGTGATTATACAATAGGTGTTTGAGTCAAGACTGGTGCGGAAGCTGAGGGAAGATGTCATTGAAAGTGAAGGGGGTTGGAGGGCTGATAGGACATGGGAGGTCTTCATATAGCAGTGTTGGGCAGGGCCCAGGCTTTTGTGACAGAAGAACGGGTATGTCAGACATAATGGCCCAGAGATGAAGGCAGGACAGCGCAGGCTGTACTAGGGCAAGACGTGTGCAACTTGCAGCTAGATCCAACCACAACGTGCCTCGAGTGCTTCGACACAGGTGGCGGCTAGTGAACCACTGCCTGTCACGAGAACTTCCAGACAATCCAGCATGTTGTCTGAACGAGTTGCTGCTCATCATCGGTGTGTTTTGCCAACATGTTTTGTCAAAGTAGCGTGTACACCACTGATTACACATGGCATTTGCAGCGCCATAGGTCATGTAAGGTCAAACAGCCTTCAGCCATTGCATGCCCATACATGCCAAAAGTGGCATGCCTTCAACATCCGGATGTCAATGTTCTTCGGTGGTTGAACCATGTTGAACCCACCTGCTGAACAAAGGGATGCTGGTTTCAACCTGTTTTTTCGTGCCAGGAGAATTTGCTGGAGTCGTCCGTGCCTGAGATGATGGTATGGTATGGTTGAGCTTGCATTCCAATCTTGTCATAGTGCAGTTGCTGTCGGTTGAACATGTTGCTCTGGTGTATATTTGTGCACCTTGCAGCAGGAGAGGTCAAGACATGTTGCTCAAAGCAAGCTACCCCTGTAACACTCCGGTCGCTTATTGTATAGATTGTCCTCAAATTGTCCTCCCAATGGTATGAAATCCAGCAACTCGTTGATGCTTAGTATTAGGTGTTGTACCATCATAGACACCATGAGCTGTGTTTATCATGTGCACGTGTTTAGTTTATTGACACACATATATATATATACATATTCATATACATATGTTTTTGTTTTTGTTTAACTAACATTCGACCAACGAGCCCACAGAACACAAGGCAAGGGGCAACTCCTGGCCGCCCGATGTGAGGTTCACTTCCTCCTTGTCAGCCTTGCGGCCTCCAGCTCAGGAACGTCAGACCCTGGAGGACTGCAGTGAAGTGTAGAGGTTGCGTGCTGTCTAACGAACATGATGGAGTGAGGATACAGGAAAGTAGTCACATTCTGAGTGTCATGTTCCACTTCTGTTGGTTGGGCTGGGGGAGGTTTGCATGTCCTTCAATTCTTGATTTGTTCCACACATGCTGACACATGCGGAAAACGTTCCATTAAACCTTGGGACGCTTTCAGTGGGGCCCTGTAGCCCGACACCGAGGTCCTCGCATTCTCAGAGTTTCTCGGCGGCCGGGATGCCCAGAGGTTGCGTCCAACGCCCTTCGGGCGTGGCCGGCGTCGGCTCCTTTGTTTTGAGACCTTGAAATGGAGAACACAACCTTTCAGGAATGGAAAGTTCCCGTAGAACGGAATACAAGAAGTCTCAGGTTTAGTGTAGGGGTTCAACCCATGGCAGGCGACGTATGAACATCTCGCGCCCCAAGCCTGCTTTTCACGTTAGACCCAACAGTTTCAGAGGTCAAGCCAGCAAACAGGGCTCCAGTTTGTTCGTTTAATTAATCCTAAGGTTGGAGCGACTGCAACAATTGCCGAATCAAAGGAGTGGCTCAGTGACGAAGAGCACAGTGACGTAATGGCGCTGAGATGGCGAGCAAAGACGACCCCATAGTGTCCTTGCTCCTAGTAGCGATGCCCGTTGCTCCTAGTAGCGTCCGTGCTCCTAGAATGGCAAACTGTCACTTTTGAGTACACCCTATGAGCTGTGTTCAGAGTGTGCCTGCAGTAGATGAGGTGCAGCATTTGATCCTCGTGCAGTTCTCCCTCGTCATGGCCACCACACCGCGCCTGTGGTTATTTTCAGACTGGTGTTGGGTATTGCGGGGGGTGCGGGTTTTGGGTGTGCATGCACATGTTCCTTCGATCCGGCACAAGCTCATGCAAACTGTTTGTTCATGTTTGTTCAATTGTTTAAGAGAGACATGAAGATAATGAAGCATGGAGTCGAGATGGAGGAGAATTTGAGTGATTTGAGATGGAGAAGGTGATGCAAGTGGACAAGGATGGAGAAATGTGAGCCACACTCATTTGGTGACTTGATGATTTTGGATTCGGGTCTCGAAAGTGAAATTCTCCAAAATTGAGGTCTTGAAAGTGATGGCTCGGCCCCTATGGAAAGTTTATCCCGTTCGTTCGACTGTTGATGGTTCTCATGGAAGACCTAAGTCATCCAGCTGTGAAGGCCCTGTTTGGGCGCTCAGGTCATTCTACTTGCCCACAAGCACTCCTTTCTTGGAGGTGGGCAGATGGGAGTGGAGAGGGCACCAGTTGATTTGAGACAAGCTGAGGAGCATGAGTTTTGTGATATGTTGCGACATTTGTTTGCAAAACAGCCAGATGTGGTGGCTATGAATTAGCCTGTGGACATCCAATGTCGGCGCTATGGTCGCTTAAAACGGTTTGGACGACGATTTCGTGTCCCGTTTCGCCAGGAAGATCGTCCTGAGGACGGCCGTGCGTCGGCTCAGTGTGTCAGTGTGGGGTTGAAATACGGGCCGGATGTCGATGGGAACGATGGAACGCACGGCTGGGCTGGGAGCGTTTCTGAAGGTGGAAAAGTGCTGGAGGGTGCAGCTACTCATCCGAAACTGCACTGGCTTGGGGGCGTAAAATGATGTCAGAGGACTTGTGCTAGGGGTAGTTTGGTTGTAAGTGGGTCACCAGCGAGTTGCTCAGGCCGGCATGCGAGTGTTTGTTTCAAAAGCCTCCACGCAGCCAATTGATTACCGGAGTGTGGCAGCTTGGCAACCCTGATTGGCGTCGGGCATTCCACACTGAAGCCATATTTGAAAAAAAAAATAAACCTTCTTGGCGGGATCCAAGAGCGACATCGTTGTCCACAAACTCAGCATTGCCCCAAGTGGTCTAAAGAACCTATCAAGCTGGACCCAGCGTTTGCCTTCCCTAAATTTCAGCCTCTATAACAAAGATTCACAATAAAAGAAACCGAGGCCAAGCAAGCACTCGAGTCTCCAAGCTTGCTGTTCTTGGAGTCTCTCAGCTCCGCCGAGGTGGCGAAGCCATACTGCCCCAAGTCCTACCAAAGGTGGGCGCCTTGCTTTTCACCAGCGGCCGGCGTGTCCAAGTGTCGAACGGTGCACGCGGAGCGCGCTCTTCGGGGGGTGCTCACCGCACAGCACAGGCCTTTGTTCTCGAAGAGAAGGAGGTCATGGATTTTATCGAGGCCTGCAGTCAAAGCGTCCCTTGATACCCGGTATGTCGGGGGGAGCCGAAAGAGTGGTGGGTAGCACGTTTCCTAACTCAGCGTTACCTCCAAAGGCAGACATATAAGATCTTGCCACCAGCCATTTTTAGTATGTCCATGTATGTCTGAGAGGCAACAGGATTGAACCGGGGTGTGTGTTGGCTAAGCACAAGCCTCGAGCTTCGAGTATGAGTCGTGAGCGTTCCACTAATCCTGTAGCAGCTGTGCAGTAGAGCTATGTTTCTCAGTGTTCTCAGTGTTTTAAGCTAGTGAAGCTCGTGGAAATTGTCAGGAACCTTGCGACCCCAAGACCAGCTTGTCAGCTGACCTTGTTTCGATTTCGGACCTCTAGGCAAGCCCTGACGTTCTTTGGGACCGACAACTCCGCACCCAAGATCAACCAGGCCGGCAATAACACAGAAATACATATGTCAATCGTGCGGTGCTGGTTTGGGACTTGCGTGACGCCCAGTTTCGTCGGAGGAACTGAATCATAAGGCTAACTCGATCCATCGCAAGAGATGCTATGAGGCCTTTTAAGACTCATAAGATCGAATAATGCTGGTTTTGGTGCTCAGAATCAACTATGAAGCTTTTCTTTGCCTGGAATTGTCCTACACACCCAACCTGGGCTTGTCATCTAAGTATATGTTTGGACATTGGATCCTCAAACCCTCGAATCTCTGCCAAGATCCTCCCCTTTCAATTCCTGCCCGTCAGGGGCCCGAGCTACGTATACCAAGGCGCCGGCGAGACCAGCAGAAAGAGAGAGAGAGAGAGAGAGATGAAGGAAGGAAAGGAAAGAAAAGAAACTAAACGAAAAGAAAAGAAAAGACACGAAAAAAAGAAGAAAGACAGCAAGAAGGCAAGCAGGCAAGCAGGCAGGCAAGCAAGCAAGCAAGCAAGGAAGAAAGAAAGAAAGGAGAGAGAGAGAGAGACAGAGATATACACATTTAGAGAGAGAGAGTGAGAGATAGATCAAGCACTTGGATTGTCTCAGTGAAGGTGCCTACGTGCTACCAGAGTAATACCAGAGAAATGCCCGGGATTCTAAATCTTCCATTCCCGACACTCACTTGGTCTACAAAGTTGGAGGCCAGAGATTGCCGTACCCATGTGTCCGCTGTGCTGAGTGCACAGAAATGCTACTTTAAAACATCCGAGTGGTGAGATGACATCATTACAGCGACAACAAAGCAACTTAAGGAAACACCACAAGAAATGGAAACAACTCAGAAACATATTCTTTGAAAGGAAGCAGCTTGTCCAGCCGGACGAGTCCGGATGTTCATCCAGTGACTTCGTCCAAGTTGGCAGAGTCCACCCTGCCATCTAGGCTGCTGTGGCCAGCAGTGTGCTGGTGGCGCCGAACAGCAGCCGAAGCTGTGAAATTTGGAGCTGCGAGCAGGGGCACTTGGAGTGAATGTCGAAACCCTGCTGTTGTCATAGAACAACTTGATGCAACTTTGAGAGTCCATGAGTTACGGAGTTGCTAGATTTGAGTGTAGATCAATTGTATATGAAGCGCCTTCAAATTTTGAGATGAGTACAGTTGCACAATAGGAGCGTTACACTTATCTTATGCGTGCATGCTCCAAACCCTGGTGAACGATAGGGGACTCGCGGAGAAAAACACAATTAATTGCCTTTAACATGGTTTGGACCACAAATCTGATGATGCAACTGCCGCACAAAAATTGACAGTATTGATAGTTGATAGTCAATGTTGACGGTACCTCATATGCTATGTGGGATTTTTTGTTTGGGGGGGGGTGAGTCCATTGAGTCCATTGACGTTGACAACCGAAGGCATCAAAGGACCGGGGCGGAAAGGGCGCTCGGCCGATCCTCAGGGCGACCTGGCAGATGGTCGCAGACACTCCCGAGGACACTTTCGCTTCACCAAAAAGCATTCGGTTTGAGAGACTTTTCTGTGACTGATGGGTCCACGCCAAAAAGGACTGGCGATGTTTGCGGGGACACCGGAACGATCGGACGCTACGAACGGAGCCAAGGGCATCGCTACTAGGAACGATCGGACGCTACGAACGGGGCTCCTGGCATCGCTACGAACGGAGCATTCAGGGACACATGCATAAGACCAGGACTGACAGGCACAGCAACATTCGAGTCTTCGAGCCGAGACCATGTCGACCTCACACGGCCGAGACCTGGACGCCACCGTTTCACGACGGGCGCGCAGCATGTGACACAGACTGAGTCAGAGCTTGTTCCATATGTTCCACCAGTTCTGAGAGACCGATGAGACAGTAGCAAGGGCTGAGTCTCAAAGTCCCAGTAACTTGAACCAGCATGACAACACGGAGACCTATGAACACACAGGCACCAAATCCTCGCGTATGAAGTGCTTCTGGGCTTTAGAGCAGCCGACATCAAGAGCAACCTGCCTTGGGGCTCATGGGTGCGCCTAAGTCCTCCAAGTATCCTTTGACCGATGCGGTCAGGGGTATCGTCTATGAAGGCTGCGCTGTCACATGGGCAACGGGTGACCGCATCCAAGAGGGGATGCTTTCCAGGACGTGGTTTGCAGTTCGATGGTTTATGAGTCGTGTTACATTTGGACCGCACTTGCTCGGACACTGGACTCCCCACCCCAATGATATACTCGTATGTTCGTCTTCATCTCCACCGTTGCCCACACGAAGTCGAACTTGAGATGTTCGCCCACTCACCCGGGTGAAGGAACAGACGGGTCGGACTGCACATGGCAGGCCTCAGCCTGGAAGAGACCTTCACACAAATCTATGCCACAGAGGCCTGGGGCAGAGGCAGTGGTGCAGGCAGCGTGCCAGTGCACTGCTTGAAGTGGTGACTCGGGTGAAGATGGGGTGGACTCGGGTGAGAGGCAGAAGTGCTTCATAGAAGTTCTTGAGTTGTGAAGCTGCTAGTGCAGTATCTTGCAAATGGTCATTAAACATCAAGAGCTGGGCATCGATCCGATGTTAGCTGATGGATGAAGGGAAATGAGGTGTAAGCTCAGTGACCCGAGGATTGAATTTGTGCGAACATTCATCAAGGAGAACTCTATTCAATCCGTGGTGGACCTCGGATGTGGAGATTGGCAATTCAGCCCCTATATCTACCATGACCTGGGTGTGGACTATGTTGGCTATGATGTGGTTTTGCCAGTGATCCAGGAGAGTCTTGACCATCATTTATCGAGCATGATTGCGCAATTGCGCATCATGATTCTCCTGACGATTGGCGCAGCGATTCAAAGTCGGCCATGCAAACACCGTTTCAGTATACGTAGATGTTGTTGCTTCATGTTATTTCCTGAAGTCAGATTGCTCCTAGTAGCGTTCTTGCTCCTAGTGATGCCCTTTGCTCCTAGTAGCGTCCTTGTTCCTCGTAGTAAGGCCAGGAGCCCTAGTAGCGTCCTTACTCCTAGTAGCGATGCCCTTTGCTCCTAGTAGCGTCCTTGTTCCTAGTAGTAAGGCCAGCAGCCCCTAGTAGCGTCCTTGCTCCTAGTAACGAATCCCTTCGCTCCTAGTAGCGTCTTTGTTCCTAGGTATAGATGTCGTTGCTTCATGTTATTTCCTGAGGTCAGATTGCCCCTTCTCTCCCCAGCCACCCATAAGGAACCGCGCACGCTGGGCAGAAACGGCCTTTGCGCGGTCGACTGTGCGCTTTGAACACTTGGATTTCTCGCAGCGGGTCTCAGATGTGGACGACGCCGAGCTCTACATCTTGAAGGCGCGTGGGTCGCACAGGGCTCCAGATCTCTAGGCGGTTTGGAGCTGCTCATGTTGAGGGAGATGCTCTTTGTGTCAAAGCAACTGTAACTGAAATGGGGAGGTGTGGGTATCCAAGTGCTGGGTGTGGGTGTGTGCTACCAGGTGGGCTCATGAGGGATCAGGCGTGATGCTAGGGTGAGATGTGGGGCTTGTGTGGGTGTTGTGTGGGTGTGTGCGTGTGTGGGTTGTCATTGGTTGGTGCGGTTGCGGGACGGGATGGAACGACTTGAAACTTGACCAGAGTTGTGTTCGGTGCTGAGTTGATTGAGGATGGTTGCGATTTGTTGGCCCAGAGAGGGAGAGTGGGGCTTCAACGGATGCACTATGGTGGCACCATTGCAGTCTTGAAGATTTGACATCGGTGTGAAGCAGGTGGCCAACAAACTACTGTATGACTTTCTGGATGCAGGGGCCTAACATGGGCCTGACCTAGCCCCATTGGGTACTGCACTAGTGGATTGCTTTGGTTATTGGCAAGGCAGGCAACTAGAGCATTGGTCGGTGGTCAAGTATGGTAGGCATGTTTGCACTATATACATCTCACTGCTTGGGCATGGCAACATGACATAAGATCAATTGTTTTGTATTTCATACCATGCAATGAGTATCAAATGCTTCTCCAGGTGTGAATCTCAAGAAGAGCCTGGCTCAGGAGAACCACACTCAAGGTCATATTGTTCCCACTTGCTTGCCTGGTCAGACCACCGCGTCCGCGCCTTGACCAACCCCTTTTGCCTCCTGCGGTTGAGGATGTTTTGCAGCATTGGTCCTCCATGCGCATCCAGCTGTTCTTACAGGAGCTGCGGAGCAGCAAGCCTGCCATGAGGCCGGAGATTCTGCTTTTGGGTGCCAGACTTCAATTTGGGCCAATTGATCCTCTTTGGCGTGTGAGTACAGACAATTCCGTCACACACTTTCGCTTCAGATGGCTAATCCGGGCTGAATTCCTGGAGCTGAGAATGCTCTTTTAGCAGAAAAAGCAAACCTTTGAGCACTTAGGCTTCCCAGCAACCTGGCAGGTTCATTTTGCTTTGCAACTGCGCAGCACCAGAGGACTGGCCCGAGGAGCCCCGGTCAGCGGCGGGGATCAAGTTTGGAGGCATCGGCGTCGAGGTTTTGGGCTTGAACTGCGCACCGCACGCCTTTTTGTTTGCAACTGTTACTTTTGCTCCCCTATAGTTGGCCATATATATTGGTCTGTGTATTTACACTGCACATACATACATACATATATATATATATAAGATTATATAATAAGTATATATACATCTCTATATATGTAGAATGTTGGGCACTGCCAGGATAGCCGAAGTGACTCCTGACCATGTTTTTGGCACCATGACCGCGCCTTGTGATCTTCTTGGGGGATGAAGAGCACTGTGCTTCTTACTATAGTGCCTTTGCTCCTTACATGAAGCCACCCGTCAGACCACCCATGTCCTCCACATGAATCGAACGTTTGCCAGGACGACTGCAAGGATGGCGGATGGCGGCCTTTGTTCGCCAAAAATCCACCCTTGAAGGACTTTGACCCAGAAGTCTTGCTGCGCTTCCCCTCCTTGCCAAACATGAAGGCCTGCAGCAGTTGGGCCAACAACTGGGCGCTGAAGCGGACTTAGCTGGAATCCCGCGATGTTGGGCGTTGTCGAGGGTAGATTTCCTAGGGGCACCCCTAATTCCAGTCATAAAGAGAATCCGATACTCACAGTTAGTAATTAGTAATGTTATGTCATATTCCATCATACTACTCCTAGTCCCCGTGATGCTTGTTTTGAAATACCGGGTGAAAAGCTGGACAAGCTGTACGCAATACACTTATATACATGGCCACGACATCGGCAAGTGTGGCTGAGATACAACGGTATCCGGTGGAGTCAATATATGACGCTGTCCAAGATTGAGATAGTGATCAACTGTCCAGTTGACACTTCCAAGCTGTAAAGCTGTTTGATGGTATTTTTGGTAGGCTTGGTAGGTGGTAGCTTCTCGTTCAGCTGTTCCAGAGGTGGTGGTATACTTGTTTCCCCTAGGTGCATGTGTTGTGGTCCCTTGTTTGTGCTCCAGGCCATCATACACCCTTCAAGCATTCTAGCCAGGTACTACACTCAGCATCACTCAGCTTGCGTAAATCCGGGTTTTGCCAGCTATCACGCCAGGAGGTGTGCCTCCTCCGACCACAAAAGCGCTCCATTGACCTGTCCAAGGGTTGTTTGGCCAGACGTCGTGAGAAACATCCAGATGCGCGGAGGAAAAGAATCGTTGCAGTTCGCGAATGCCCCCCATGCGCTGAACCACAAGTTGTGCATAGCAAGGCATTGGGAGAACAGCAAGGCCCTGGCATAAAGGATAATTATATCAACGATATCAACGACTCAAAACTGTTCTGTGGTGCGCAAAAGAATTGGCGCTTCAGTAGCTGTGTTTGTGTTCATGTATTTTCGCTTCTCTTTCCTCTTTGCAGGAATGGTCTCAGATGTTCGGCGCCGGGCTCGGAGGGAGGGATGCGCCGATCCGCTGCTCTCTCCCAAACGGAAGGGAGAGAGCACTGATGAGCAGTGGCTGTTTGAGTTGAGATGTCATGATGTCGTTGATCACATTGAAGTCCAAGCTGCATTTCTCATCACTTCTCTCCATAGGTCGGTCGTAGCGCAAAGAAATGAGAAGAGACACATTCATTGTTGTTGGTTGATTTCAAGCTCACAGGAGAGGATTAGAAAGCCATTCTCGTGGCCCCTTGTGGGTTTTTGAAGGCATTCTGTGATGACCTGAGAATAGATTAAGAATCTTTGCAGTGTCAGTGTGACCTTTTTCTGATGGCTCAAGCTGAATAGGCCACACATGACCTTGTTACGTACCTCAAGCTCTAGATTTTGTTGTGGAGCCTCTATTGCCCAACTTGGAGCAACAAAGGCTGGTCATTTGTGGACTATGCCTTCACCCCGGAAACTCGCATATCAGCAATAATTGTAGAAATCGTCCGCACCGGTGTGGCCACATGGCCGTCGACTGTGCAGGATCGGACTGGGAGACTTCAAAGTGAGGGACTGCAGATGGAAAGCAGAAGCTAGCACAGTTCTGTGCATGGAAGTGCAAGAATGATCTCGCTGCGATCTAGCCAAAGCCACATGCCCAATAACTTTCTTGATTTTCCAGTCTCAATGGGTCCGTGGCAAGCCACTTCATAAATATATTATATGTTTACATAATGTATACAATAATCCTTCTTGACCTTTCAGTGCTCCGAAAGCCCGCCTCATGGTGCTTTCCGAGCGTTCCTTCTTTCCTCGCATGGGACGCTGAGCGGGTGCGATTGAGATCGGATGGACTGTCGCGGAAGGAGGTCTTTGAGACAGGCACGGCCATGCTACGACGAACAGAACACTTTGTCTATTGGACTCATCCTCCTCATGTGACATGACTCATCAACCAGCTGCATTGACGAATATGTCGACGTTCTCTTGGATGCCCGAGAGAGCTGCCGAATGGCGTGCGATTGATGTGGCAATGTCTTTGATCCAAAGCACTAGGCTTTGCTTCGTTGGCGTGTATGTTCAGGAGTGTTTGGGGTGGCATTCACATCCCAGGTTGGTTTAATATGTGTAAACAAGGAATCATTGAAAGACAAAATGACTCAATGTGACTCAAATCCATTTCGGATTCTTCCTGTTTCGGTCAGAGACCCCAGGCTGATGAGTGCTCACCGGCCTGGCCCGGCCTTGAAGGAGGCTACGAAGCTTGGCGGATGGGTCAGAGTGGATTTATGATGAGTAGTTTGAGCAGTGAATCGGGTAGTGAACTGGGTAACTCAAAATGTTCCAGTGAGGAATGAATCTCGGAGGAATCTTGCGGACCTGAAGCCCCCACACACAATGATGCAGGCAAACTGAGCCTCAAGTTGCCGCCACATGGATCCACATGGTTCATAGTTGCCGTAGTCGCCATAGCCATAGTCATCACCCATCTTTCGATTCAGCCATTTGGGTTTCAGCGTCACACCACCTCCTCCGTGTTTGTCGCCCACCATGTCGAGCCTCATGGCGCCCATCGCGCCATCCAGCCTGGCACCGTCCACCTTGGCAACCGTAGTGCCTGTGGCAGCCGCACCGTCCGCGCCGGCCATGCGCGGGGTTCTGGGCACCAACGGTGTGGTGCCCGCCGTGAGCCTTGCGGCCACCGTGGCCATGGCAGCGGGCCGGGCGCGTCATGGACGTCGGCCATCCGGCTTCGCGGGGTCGAGCGGGAAGACCAAGGTGATTGCAACAGGGCGATCTTTGAGTAAAGCTAAGGTGGTGGTGCCTTGGGAGCAGTTGGGAAGGTCATGGAAGGTCCAAAATCACACCTCGCTTGAGAGCTTCACCTAGTGACCTAGAATCACTTTCCTATGAAGGTGATTTGTGTTGCACGTGTGTTATCATTATTATATCAATGTCTTGCCATTTTCTTACTATGTGTTTGTGCCTGCTTGTTATTCTTTAGCACAAGTTTCCTACAAGTTTCATGCACCTTGGCATCTCATTTGTTGAGGTTTGCGCCGGCGTGACCTTTCCTGAGGGTCGCAAGCTTCGGGTGGCCGTGGTCGGCGGTGGGCCAGCAGGTGCCAGTGCTGCAGACGCCTTGACGCAGCAGGCAGATGGGGCGGGGATATGCGCAGATGGAATTCCATAGTTTTTGGTAGTTGTCGTTTTAATGTATTTTGTAGACTCTACCTCTCGAGGGTGCAAGCTGGGTAGTGCTGGGGCTCAACTCCAGCATTGTCCAATTATTTTGAGGCCAGGGCCTAAGCTTGCTTTACCTCATCTCATCCTCACCTCATCTCCACCAGGAGTCGGTGTGTGTGTGTGTGTGTGCGTGTGCGTGTGTGCGCAAGTTCATTGAATCTTCCACCGTTTTTGCCCCACTCCGAACAATAAACCGACAATTCTCATTTGCTTTTCCTACAACCAGGCCTAGTTACTAGTTTGGAACACCCTGTTTTGAAATACATGTAGGCATTGAACGACACCCAGTCTTGAGCGATTTAGATGTTCAATGGTTTTCAGCTTCTGGAGTCATCCCTCATCACTTCGATGACCTGTGGTGTTGTTTGAAAATGCTTTTCGCTGGTCGCATCTGCGGGAGCCGTCCCTTTTTCAAAGGGGGGTGGAGACCTTCCTCATTGAGCGGAAGATGGACAACTGCAAGCCTTGTGGCGGTGCCATCCCTTTGTGCATGATCGATGAGTTCGACCTCCCGAAGGAGACCTGAAGATGGGACCCCGCGACGACATGTTTCCGCGGAGACCGACTCACTTCTTTTCGAAGAACGGTGGTCTTTCTTGAGCACCGAACATTCCGTGATTCCGTAGAGGTTGGTAGGGGTTTGCAAAACATGCCACGGGTGCTGAAAAAAACTATGCTCATGGACTCATGGAATTGTTTGATTCTTTTGCGAGATTTTGGAGGCTTCAGCCTCATCAGGCCAGCTTCCGGTTCCAGGCAATAGAATGGGACTGGTGAGTACGATCCATCCAAATCGTGCTTGTTAAAAAAGCACCCACAACCCCTCACGACCATGTTCAACATGCGGCATGCATAGCTCCTGGCTCCTCATCCATTTGTTACACCACAAAATCCAACGGCCGTCCTGGCCACCGATCCATCTCTGAAGGACATCGTCGATCGCAAGGTCCGCAAGATGACGATGATTTCGCCCACGAATAAGGAGGTCCAGATCGGTCAGACCTTGAAGGAGGACGAATACATCGGCATGGTCCGACGTGAAGTGCTGGATGACTTTCTCAGACAGAGGGCCAAGAAGAACGGGGCCACCTTGATCAATGGCCTTTTCATGGGAATGGAGCTTCCACAGAAGAAGGGTGACGCTTACGTTTTGACCTACAATGACTATGAGGGTGAGGAGGGCAACGCTCGCAAGGGTGAGAAGAAGACTCTGGAAGTCGACGTGGTCATTGGTGCAGATGGGGCGAACAGCCGGGTTGCCAAGGAGCAGAAGAGTGAACAAATCAGTTGGATTTGGGCATGTGTCTCACTCCTTGGCTGATGGAAACATGAGTGCTAACATGGTATTTGTTGTGGCCTTTAATCATCAGATACTGGAGAAACATTGGCAGTCAACCAGCGAGCATTGACTTTCAAAACCCCCAAAGACAATGCTCACACTGCTATTCACTGCTGCGCATAGATTCGATGTCTCTATCGCTTGAAGGAGTATGGACCTGGAGAAAAACTTTGTTTGACATTCCAGGTTTCTTCGACGGTTTCGCCAGGACATCGAAGCAGGGGACTATGAGTATGCCATCGCATTCCAAGAGCGCATGCGAATTCCGGAGAAGAAGATGGACTACTACAAAGATCGTGCGGAGATGTATGTGGGCGAGGACATGTCCACTTCCACATTCGGTTCTTATAGGGTTAGACGGATCACTTAAAGCAAGACAAACAACCAACAGATCCCACACACGACTTGCGGTCTCGTCCGCCCCTCGAAGCCCTTCCACTAGGTGGGGTGCCAGAGGGTATGACTATATCACAGAACAAAGCGTGAAAAGAAAACATGCACCCCCATCTCAAGGAACCGGTTTAAGACAAACCAACAGATCCCCAAAAGGCACCCCGGACGAGCCAACCTTCCAAGGACGTATCTCCGGACTTCTATGCATGGGTTTTCCCCAAGTGCGACCATGTGGCCGTTGGCACCGGCACAGTGGTAGACAAGAGCGGCATCAAGAAGTACCAGCAAGGGATCCGTGACCGTGCAGCCCCACGCATCGAGGGAGGAGAGATCATCCGTTCTCTAGCAGCACATTCTGCAAACCATGTTGTGATATTCTGTGAGAAGTTTCTGTGAGAATTTTATATGTGAGACCCCCAGAACCGTTTTTCTTTTGGATCGTTTAGTTTGTTAGTTGACCAGCGGCAACCCTCCTATTCACACGCCGTGTTTGTGACCCATCGAGCGTTGCCAATTCGATGCTCCTACCAAGTCGGCCGGTCACCGTAAATGTGGAAGGCCCCAATCCTGCTCGTCTCAAACAGAACCCTTTCAATTGCACAACCAAGATGCACCGGCCACGATATGTGAACAGTTAACCTCCAAGTTAGCTCCCTCAAGACTCCAGTTATCACTGATAGGAAGTGAGCTGATCAATCGATTTGTCCATCATCTTGCCGTTCTGGACTGCGCGCAGGTGTTGAGGCGCACCCCATCCCTGAGCACCCACGACCCTGGCGTGTGAAGGACCGCGCCATCCTGGTGGGGGACGCCGCAGGCTATGTGACCAAGTGCTCAGGGGAGGGCATCTACTTTGCGGCCAAGAGCGGGCGCATGTGCGCGGAGACCATCGTCCATCGGTTGCAATCGTCCATCGTTCTCGCACGGGGTGTAAGTTCATGGAGGTTTGAGAAGTATGATGTATGTTGCTTAAATTCGTGCGCGGTATTGGAACGGCTTTAGTTACATTATGTTCATATCATATTGTCATGCTGTGTTTACCATGTGTTTACATGGTTGATGAAGTTCACTAGGTGGAAGCCACCATCAACGTTTCAATCAGTTTCGATCCTGGTGTGGGTGCCTGTGAAAGGAAACACAAATTAAGTCGAACCCACCTGGGAAGTCCTCCATCAAGCAAGAATCTCACTTTGTAAGAGGACAACATAGCTTAAAATAGTTGATAGTAGATGAGCTATCATTGCGTGTTTGTCCTTGGGTCGCTTCTTCTTGTCCATCCACACACGGGAAACCACTGACATCCGCGCGTTTGCGTGAGGTGAAAAGCTCCCAGCAGGGTGCACGCATGATCGACGAGGCGGATTTGATGGAGCACTTGCGGGAGTGGGACGGAAAGCAGCCTGGACTTGGACTTGTTCAATGGCCTGGGGCCTGGGGCGGCCCCAAACGCCCCCAAACGTTGAAAGGAAAGAAGTTCATCGAGTTGGCCTGGTCAGTTCACAGGGGCAGATTGAAGGTGTGCCATGTGGCCAAGGCCCCGTTGCTTCCAAGTTCCGAGTGTCCCTGCTCAGATTTTTTGCGACAAGTAGTGGTAGTACGTTGAACTGATACTGATGATCAGATGTCCGCGAAGTTTGTTTTTTTTTTTTTTCTACTGTTGTTGGGCTGTAGGAGGGACATAGGCCCCCGCTCAATCAGATAAGGTAGATTCAGAAATCTTCATTTTAATAAAGATGCACATTGGTTGGACACCCGCCTTGCTGCATTTTAGACGAGGTATGGTCCTACCTATCTCGTCCTTGATTTGCTTCAAAAGATTTTCTATACCAGCGATGCTGCCCGTGAGAGCTTTGTGGAGTTGTGCGAAGAAGAGTATGTGCAGAAGGCAGGTCGAAACGAACGACGTGAAGCATTCGGGATTGGTGGTCGGTTCCGGCGCTGTGGTTGGATGTTGGTTGAGCTCCCCCCCAAAAGCACCGTCATTTTGGAACCGTGGACGTGGAAGCCCCGGAAGCCCCGCACCGCTGGCTGGAAACCGTCACGCAACATTGCAATGTATAGCGACGCACGCGTTCCGAAACAATTCCATGTCCAGAATCCAAAGCCGTCATTGGGCACAAGCTGAAAGAAAACAAGTTTGAAGTGGCACAGCGTTGCTGCCAGGTGACGTTTGATTCTTACCTTTACAAGACGGTGCAGGGCAATGATCCTGTAGGCGACTTGAAGTTGGGCTGGAGGACACTGAGTTCTTTGTACAAGTACAACAATCAGCCACTTGGCAAGTACTCAACAAACAAAACACAGTCCCCCCCCAAAAAAGACATGCAGAGAGGGAATGGCAAGCAATTTTGGATTTGAGCCAAGAGTTTTCAGGGAGGTTTTGGCATTTGGGCCTCAGTGGTGGCCGGTGTGAGTGTTTTGGGGTGTCCTTATAGTTAATGAGGGTGGAGGGAGAGGGAGAGACCATCCAGCTTTTCTCACCTGAAGCAACTCCAAGGAAGACGCCAGACCCCATGAGAACCCTGGCCTAGGATAGCCTAGGCCCTTGGGCGATTTTGCTTCCCAGAAACGGCTTTGTGGCTGTTGGGCCCGTTTGCTCGAGGCAATTTCATGATACCTGAGTGACGCATGCAGATTCTTCACACAGGATTCGTCCCAGCTTCTTAAGTCTCCTTACTTCGAAGGTACATGAAACTGCACTTTGAGATGCTTTGAGCTTAGTGACAATATGTTTTCCATCTTGTACAATTGGGTGTGGAAAGCACACCTTAAACTTGCAACCGCCAGCATCTGAAAAGTGGCCGTCCCGTACCGCACGCGCAGCGAGAGCAGCTCGGGCAGCGTGAGCCGACACCTCAACAGGTCTAGACGTGACGCAGTTGCTCTCGACTCACTGCAGCGGAGTGTAGGGGCATTCCTTGAATGATGATGATGTGTCTCCACAAATCCCGTACTGTAGGTGCTCCCAACCCACCTGTGCTGGGACCTCCTCGGAACGAAACTCGTTGTTCGGAAAGGAAGGTCATTGCCGGGGCCGCCAAACAAAGCCGCTGGCTGCAAGCCGTGGGAACTTTGTGGAAATTGGATCGGCAGGACGGCCCGGAAAGAAAGCATGGATGGAGTGTGCCTGTAAAATATCAGATGTCAGTGACCGGGGAGCAACGATCAAGTCGATCCTATGTGACGTGTGGTGCTGAAGGCACGCAGCATGGCCTGAGAGATTCCTGCCGTTTCAAGGGCAGTTCAGGTGCAGGATGGCATAGGATTGCTTAAATCGTTCTGTTGACCAAACTTACAAATGCCATCAGGCATTGGAGATCGACAGCATCCTCTACACTGCTGCCTTGAGCGCTTGCGAAACTCGGCATTTTTCTCCTAGTGCGTCAAAAGGCCAGGAGTTGTTCAAGTCTTTTGTGTGCGGGCAAGATCATATCGCTTACTAGAGCTGTGAGCGCAGCGTGAGGGAGAGCCCGACCCTCAGCCCTAAACGCCCTCCCGTGATCTGTTCTGTGCCGTTTCAGTCAGTGGATCCGAACCATGAATCAAGATGCATCAACTCAGCACAACCCTCAGAATCCATTTTCCAATCTGCGGTCTACAACGCTGAGGACAGGAGCCGACAATGGTCAGCCGCCTTGGACTTGGCCAGTGCCTAAGACTGGGTGGCCCAACGATGTAAGACGAGACTCATGAAGGGTGAGGCGCTTCATTGGCTTCTCATCTACTGTTGGTCATTGTTGGTGCTTGGTGCTTGGTGCAGCTGCTGTGGTGTGTGTATGTGCATTCCAGAGATCCACCCGCCCCGGACTTTTGCCTGACAGACTTGCAGCACAGCTTGGGGGTTGTCTTTTTGGTGCTGGGCTGTTGGCACGGAACGAGACCGAGGGAGGGAGCGCCTAAGGGAACCGATGGGCCCGATCCACGGTCCCGCGGAGACGGATGCGGACACATCAAAAGTAAGAACTCTTGCGGACAGCATGGGCATGGGCGGCATGGATATGCCAGGAATACTAGGTTTCGGAGCTGGGTTGATTAAATTACGCTTGGATACACCGATAGGTTTGTTTGTGCATTGATAGCTGGTGTTGGGCGTTGGGATCATATTATACTTACACTTTAATTTCCAGGTAGGCCCCCCCAGTGCCAGGTCCCCCCGTGCAGTGGCTGCACCCAAACATTTGATGCCTGTGCGATTTCTGGCGTTGTGCCCTAGGTGACTCATGTTCTGGCCGAAGGTGTCCTCTTGCTGGACCAAGGCTTGACACTTGGCGCTTTGGAGATTCTGCTGGCGGGGGGCCGTTGGGGTACGAGAATTCATGACGGCAGAATATCCATATGATTCCTTCCATATGTATCAACAAGCTAGCCCCAAAGCGATGCAATTTCCCGTAGACAGGCCCGTAGACCATCCATTGCTAGTGTTTTCTTGTAATAATTGTATATATAGCTACTATTGTTGTTCCAGGTGTTGGTGGAACCCTCCCAAAGACCAACCTCCTTTCATTTCCATTCCAGAAAGAGAAAGCGTTGTTTAATGCTGGTCCAACTAAAAATGAACAATTCAGAGGCTGTCATGTCCTTTCATTTGCACTTGCAGGCTGGGTTGGATTATACGATATATGGACTGCCTTTGCTTTTCCAGAGTCATTTGCGGGTTTGTCCGTTTTGTTGATGCGTCGTCCCGTTCCTTCAGCCAAGGAACTACTTAGCACTGGCATGTCAGAAAGCCTCTGAATGGCAGAGGCTGCTTCACTTGCTCGACGCTTGATTTGAACAGGCTGCTCAGAACCTCTGGTGGTGTTTGGTCAAGAATCATTTGTTTCAGGACATTCCGCGATTCGACTTGATCATGTGCAATCAGTGCTGTGGAAAATGCTTCTGGCACTAGGATTGATGAGTGAGTGACGTCAGTGATGCCATGATTCTGAATGAAAGATCCACGGCCAAAACCACGGGTACACCTCCCTGGCCTCTGCGGTTTTGCGAGTTCCGAGACCAACCAAAGATGCCAATTGTTTGTGAACATTTGCTCGTTTATATATGAGTCGTATATGAGCCATTTGCCTCACGACGTTCACACCTTCACCGAGGGCGGACTCCACCTCAGGATCCCAGGCTTGCCTTATCGTATCCCAGGTGAAGCCTTGTCGCCCTGATGACTCTTTGGCCCACGAGGCAGGGCGACAAGAGGAGGTAGTGACCAGGCAGTGGAGAGTTCAGTTCCCTCAACCGGGTGAAGGTTGTTGGGTTTGTGGTTTGCAAACGAAAGCTCATGAACGCCCTGTCGAACGGTTTTCTCATTTTGTGAGAAAAGCTCTGGGAAAGCCCTGGGACGTGCTCAGCTCAGCGCGACCAGGTGGGTTTCACTGCAGGTCTCGAGGCCTTCCCTCATTGGACCCAGGCAGGGAATGAGCAGCGAAGCTCCTGACGTTGCGTCCCCCAAGGCGAATGCCAACCATTTGCACTTTGCACACTGAGAGCAAATTGAAGCAGGTTAGTTGATGGCAATGGATGGCATCGATCGAAAGGGTTGATCCTAATAAGACCTGTGTAAGTTGCTTAGGTGTACAGGGCGTTCAGGGATTGTTGCCATGTTGCATAGGTCTCTTGGTATCACACTTGCGGACGATCTCGGTTTCCTTCTCAGATCTCCAATTGGGGCGGGTCTTGTGCTTGGTCGAAACATCTCGAAAGGCTTAGGGTGCTCACCTGTTTCCAAGTTTTCACCCATATCCTGCTATCATTTGATATTAATCAGCATCCCTCGGCCCTCTCCAGGCCTTAAGCCTGTGGCGCGCCATGCCCGCGCTGCGCGCGCCTTCGGATGCCACAGCGCTCTCGGCGCTGGTGACGGCGCTCCGTGACTTGGGCCCTGGCCCGACTCCCACAGCGACTTCCCCGTATTGACTAGGTGGTGGTTTCATGTGGTTTCAGAATGTTTCAGATAAATACTTTTTATGTTCAACCTTGACTTGGCATGATTGAACCCACTGACTAGTAATTACTGTTGAAGTAGCTTGAAACCACCAACCAGCATAGTTCTTTTACTGTCACTAAGTTGGGGAAGCCTGGGGGAGAAAAGCGGCATGTTGATCATTTGGGTCATGAGGAGGCGGAGGTCACAGGCCAGTTGAATTGTCCGAATGCTCCAAGGCCCTGCCGCTGAGTGGGCACGGGCAGTGAGCAGCTTGGCGAGTTGTTTTCAAAACACGGAATGTGTTCTTTCAATTTTGCGATGGTGAAAGGTCTTCACATCACATGTTTCCCCCATCAGGTTTGATACGTATTCAGATACTCCTTACGACGAACAGACAGCTTTCCTTTGCCAAGGCTTGCTTAGCATAGCCCTCGCATTTTCAGCTCAGAGTGCGGACGTGGCGCTTTGCAATGCTGTGTGCACCACCTGCGAAGCGCGTCAGGAGCCGAAATGGAGCGGGGCGAACCCTTGAACCCCCAAGATGTGTATAGCATATACTTAGCTCCTTCACAGCTTCCATTGTAGTGGCTCGGTGGCTCGGGTGCTCTCACAGATCAATGGCAAGGCAGTCATGGAATCTCTCAAATTAGAGGCATTCGAGTTTTAGATGTGACACCATTGATTGCCCTGTCTAGGAAGTCTAGTCTAGCCATGCCTAGCCAATGCCTTTGAGATCGGCTCAGCACCGTTCGAGTGTCACCTGAGGAGTGGACGCAGGCAGTGGAAGTCTTGCGGAAGATGCTCGCAGCAGCAGCTCGGCAAAGAACATACCACCGGTCCGGGAAGATAAGTGAAGTGCGAAGAAGGAGATGATAGGGTGACCCTCCAGAAAGCATTCTATAATATTCTATATATGATTATATGATGTTTTACATGAATGACTTGGATGCTCTAGGTTGCAAACTCTTAGATCAGAAGTTGGATCCGCCGCAACTTAGTCGGTGAAATGAAGCATGCAACACCTGGTGGATACCTTGCACCGAAAGCATTCCCTGAGTCGAACTTGTTTTGAAACTGAAGTTGTGGCATTCCTGAAGTCTGGCTTTTTGAGGAAGACAACTGACTTGCTCAGGATGTGTTTGTTCAACATGTTGTTTGCCACACCCTTGCGATGTTGGAGATTCCCTGACCAGACCACGCTCCTAGTGGAGTCAGCTGGCACAGGGCTTTGGCCATTGTACTTCCCCGGCAGGATTTGGAGCCGGACATGATCACCTTCAGCGCCATCATCAGTGCCTGTGAGGTGCAGTGTGGAGAGATCATGGCAATGGCAACCCAATGAGGGACGTGGGTTGCTCTACTTTCTTTCATGAGCACTGGATGTTTTTGGAAAGGTCTCTATAGCGGTGATGCTTTTGCGGGTCGATGTCAGTGACAGGCAGATGGACAATGGGCCTTTGCGAATCTCGGGCAACAAAAAAAGCGGGGATTCGTCGGCTGCGTACTGAAAGGTCACCCACCCGTTGTGCAACGACACCCATAAGGTTAATGCAAATGGCCTTGTAGTTGCCAGAGGTTGCCAGCGGAGCCAGCAGAAAGCGGGTGATTTTGGATTGGACACTATTCAGAGGCAAACGGAAGGGTAGTGCACAGAAAGTGTTTTGTAAAAATCTGTTCTACTAACATCGTGGAAGGCGCTGGACATTCGTAGAACCCAAGGCTATTCGTGGACAGTTCGTGGAATGGTGGGCCAGTAGGAGAACTGACTGCAACGAAATCCCAGAAACCTTCGCAGAACTTCGTGGAAGGTATTTTTTGGTGCACTAACTTCGTATAAGCGATTTTTGCTGACCCCCTTTCTCCACACACCCTCCATTTAGCCTTCAACTATGCACTATGCACGGTTACTTGCAAAACTGGGGCCTCCATTCAAGAATTGACCTTCCTTTATGTGTTTATATCATGTTTTATCCCGATCCATTGATGTGACTGGTGAGCCATGGAAGAACTGGAGCTGAGCGACATGCCGAACTGCCAAGGCTTTATGCGATGCAGGAGCCACTTGGGTAATTTCCAGCCTACAGAGACACATTGTTGAGCAGCTGTATCTGGCAGTGTCTTGCGTTGTAGAGAGGATATGCAGGTGCGTCAGCTGATGCCGAATGTGTGGGCCTTGGCTATGCATAAATGACCATCAAATGTATTGCGCCTCGTGATCCCACGTTTTTGGGGGGCACCTCTTCACTTGCGCGAAGACGAGCCTGAAAGGGATACCGCGCACATGGCGCACGGTGTTTTCACGATGCCGGCGCACGGCCCTGCACGACGAGACCCGCTCAGCTCATCACCTATAACGCCACCATTGCAGCCTGCAGCACTGGAAGCTGGGAGCATGCTTTGAGGAGCCCGCAACGACGTCCTCAGCTGTGAGGTTCGTTCGGCGGTGGTTTGGTTCGGTGTGGTCCGTTCGTACCATGTCGAGGGTCCACCACTAGGTGCCCCTGTCACAGATTTTGAGTCTTTATTGAATCATTCAAAGAGGTACCAACGTGCCACAGGAATGGGTAGTACTGCAAGTACTGCTGTTCAAGAAGAAGGTGGACATACAACGTCAGTCATACAACTTCCTTTCTATATAGTTTCCAAATGCATTGTGCCATATTGTGCCTGTGGAGATGGACACACGACTGGCACACCGTTGCTGTTGGAAGATGCTGGTACCGTGTGGCGTTGGACCACCGGGCCTCCGCAGGATTCTCAAGAGTATGGCCTCCTCCGCGCGTGATGTGGTGAGCTACAACTCCGATCCTCGGTGTGAGAGTGGTTGACCTGGGTAGATGGCCTAGGGCCCTACTGTGGGCCGACCCCTCAACAAATGATCGATGGGAGTCCTTCAATGAATCACCTCTTATGTACATGCCAGAAATGACATATGCTTTGTGTGTGTGTCATCTAATTAACCACTCGGGCCTTTTATGGCCCTGAACTCTAAGCAAAGCTTTTTTGCGACAAGCTGGTCATTATGGTTTGGCTGTGGCTCCATAGCACATTGTGGAAGCCCTTAGCACCACCGTCTCAAAACGCCAGAGGTGTTGGCTTCAGAGTTGCCTTGGCAGATGTGCGTGCAGCTGTTGGAGGACCTAGCGATGCGCCCATGAGGCTAGCTTTCCAAAGTGTGCAATTGAAAAGCCAAGATTGTATAAAACCACATGGCCGTCACAGGATTTGCTTTGCCAACCCTTGCATGGCCGCCGGGCAGGAGATGCAGGCTGCCGAGCTGGCTCCAGATGCCTTGACCTACAACAGTGTGATGGAGGTGGGCAACGATAAGGTGACCAATGCTTGCGGCCATCGTTGGCCAATGACTTGCTTTGCAACACTTGAAGATCAATGAAGGCGTGCAGGAGGCCTAGGTTCATTGAGAGGTTCGCAATGTTTGTTCGAGTTCGCGAAAATATTCAAAGATGTGTGATTGCGAAATATCTGAAAACATAGATATGTGGAAAAAACAACCAATCCAAGGAGAATACCCCGCGCGGAAGTTTATCATGCAGTTTGCGAAAGTAAAGACATTGTGTTTCGCGAGGAATTGTGTTTCCGTAAGCAAGAAGGAATTTAGATCAACCACCATATGCTTTGTACTGTTTTGTAGTGGTGGCCTATCAATCAAGCTCAGACATGTCTCATGCTGGAGAGACTAGGCATTGGATGGAGCGCTGCAGTGGCGTGTGGCCGTGAGATTGTTAATGGCAGCTGGGCAGCATGTGAATTAGTCAGGCCCCATCAAAGGAGTGAAATCAATCAATACAATAATACAGGACAGGTACAATTATACTTCAGGAGGAAGAAAGTTTGGTAAGAACTTCACTCGAGAATGTCATTGACATCACTTCTCTTTCCCAATGGAATTCCGGCGAATTAGTTTCCACGCCGAACTAAATTACAATACTATAAACTAAAATCCGGGTGAAAACTAATCCTCCAGCATTCCACTGTGATCCCCTGCAGGATTCTAAGGGGAAAGGGTTGTAGGTTATGTACTCACGAGTTTGTTACCAACTGTGTCCTGGCTATGTGTGAACTTAACTTATCATCCGAAGAATCTTGATACCAAAGGTCAGGTTTGTTGAAAGACACTCGCCGACTCGCCGAGAGGGGTGAAGTTGGATCTAGGATGATCTAGGTGTTTATATGCGCTTGTTGCCCCAAGGTGTGGATCACTTTCTGGCTTCATATCAGGGCTCCCCACGGATTTCGATCTTCATCAGTGCGGGCAACCATGGCCAACATGGGACAACAAGACCTCCACTACACCAACAAAACCAGGGCCTCCACAACCAGGCCCTCCTGTCAACCAGTGCCTCAGGAGATGCCCCATCCGATGGCCGATGCAATCACCTGCCGCTGGGCCACTTCGGCACCTCAGCGAGCTGGCATGGGGGGATAGAGACATGACATGCATCTATAGGAGAGGGTTGGGCATGGTCTTGCTTTAGATCATCAAACAAAGCCAAGCTGTAAAACCATGATGGCAGAGGCTGCAGAGGTGGCATAGTCTAGGAAAACAGATGAAAAAAGTAACCTGGGGCTCGGAGTCTGGCAAGGTCCCCAAAGTGAAGGATCCCGGAGGATTATGAGTGGCCTCCAAGGATATTTTATCGGTGGTCCCAAAGTCCATTCATGGATCTTCAGGTCTTCATTCATTCATTTTTTGGGAATATGTGAAGCACACTTAAGATATGGGCAATAATTTGTGAACTAGAGCACAATGAAGAGCAATTGACATTAGCATGCGACCTGCTGCAGAAACCTGGCCACTATTGACCTTAACACCTACTGTAGCTGAAACCAGTCGTTAGCCAGTCACTCACCTCCACTCTCCCAGCTTCCAACTGCCATTTGTCCACGATGGTTTGAGGTTTGCGAGAAGGCAGCTGCTCATGCTCAGGCCCATGAAGTGAAGAATTCAGAGTTTTTTGGGAATTGACACAGAAAAAATTGTATGTGTAAATGCAGTAGACGGATCTCAAGATATCTCAAGTTTCCTTGAGACGCACGTGCAGGCTGTGTGGCTTTTCTGTGAGACTGCTTCTATTGGTTGCTCCTTCCTGTCAGCTCTGGCACAAAAAGGAGTGACATCAAGACATGCGCATTTAACAAGTTGGTGCAACTTCTAGACTAAGACGCGGTCTCGTTCAAACACTTTAATGACCATGCCTTTTTTTGTGACGATGTGTCTCGGTGAAAGTATATACTCTTTGTGTTGCTCTCTGAGTGGATTGGATCAGAGTAGGTGCCAGTGGTCAATCACGGACACCCTGCCTTTGAACGCTACAACAAAGGCTCCAAATCAAACAAAGGGGAGAAGGCCTGTTTTACTGCTACATAAGACCGCTAGACTGGGCTGCTTCTTTACAGCCCAAATTGATGGTCTTAAGAAGAGATGCCACACCGATCACCATCCGCCAGCAATGCTCAGGTGCCCGATCACCGACACACCGGACCATGCTCCACGTGTCCTCCGCCTCTTGTCGCATCAAACGATGGTGAGGTGATGTCAGGCTGACATGATGTCAGGTGAGTTCCCGAAAAGGCATGGAAAGGCTTCACTCAGGGCAGCAGAAGAACGGAAGAACTGTTGAGCATGGAGGTGGTTTTACATGCAAACAACTGAACTGCACCGGGTGGGAAAACATATATATATATACACATAATGTATGATTGTATATGTGATTTGCATTCGAGTCAATGATACCTCAAAGCCTTACAGATACTCCAGGTCAGTGACACGGCATGGGTTGCTTGCAAAAGGGCCTCCGCAACTATCATATCATGACAGTCTTTAATTTACTGCATTTTTTTTCATCACAGCTGAGTGAGATGACCATCCAGCCACTCAGGCCCGGCTGAACCACGTGCAGGGCATTGCCTATGGCTTTATCGAGGAGCTGCAGTAAGCACACTGCACCCAACAAGATGCTACCATTGTTAGTCATCAGTGCAACCAGCGGGGCACGGTATGGAGAACCAATGTTCACCTTTGATCCGCATCCCGGTTTCTCATACGACCAATGCTCATGTATAAATTATGTTAAATTTTAGTATAATTTTGCATTTTGAGATGTCGGGACGCGATATGACTCACTCTTGTGACCGCGGACGGTAGGGGACAGCCCAATGCAGTTGACATTTAGGTTCAGACGCGGTCTCTTTGTTGGCGTGTTGTTACCCCATGGAGAGATTCACAAGGCCAATTCAAGAATTGTGTGTCGGTGAGGCTCGTTTCCAAATCGACGAGCTTGTGAGTGCACCAGCCCGGCGCCATTCAGGAGACTTGTAGCTTTGGAGACATCTCAGTGGAGGTTGGTTTTTGTCATATGTGTTTGGGCATGCTTTTGCTTGCGATGCCTGTGTTTTTTGAGTGCCCGGGACACAACAAGCGAGCGGACCGTCTCCCATTGGTAAAGAATTTGTTTCAAGATTCATGGGTGTCCTTGTGGGTGTCTCTTCCATGTGCCAGACATTCTCTTGGGCAGGCCATCTTCCTTTGCCAGCTGTGTGCGGTGTTTTTGGATGGCCGAAGGATAGTGGATTCCAACAAGCTGAGCCCTCAGACGCAAAGTCTTTGTCGACCAAAACAGATGTACTGTAAGCAAGAAGTGGTTTCGGTTTCAGCATGTTTCAGCCGTTTTTTTGCAAATGTTTCGCAGATCTTGCCTTGGGTTCAATTTACTTATATTATATAAATACTTATGTAACGTGCATGCTCTTAATACTTAAGATGGAGGAAGCACATCGCAAGACTTCATATATCGTAAAGATTCATCCGGTGAGGCTGCTTTGTGCCCACAGCACTGTGAACATTCAAGATCTGAGTTTCTACAGCCCCACCTTTATTGTAATCTATCCAAACCAGATTGTCGACCGGTTTCACTGACAGTCAAATATGTGAAACCGACAGCAGTGAAACTGGTTGTGGTATGCACCCACTTGGATCCATGAGCCGATGCCGTTACCTAGGCTGGCTCTCGCTGTGCGAACGCTGTGTGTTCTGATCCTTTTTTGCCTCGAGCTCAGCCCCGACGAAAGACACGAACATACGATGATAATGTAATACAGTAATACAGATATAGCATGCATATCATCCTACCCAGTGACAGTCCCAGAAGCCCTCACTGTCTTCGTTTTTTTGCGGGCAGCGCTTTGCCAACGCCGGGGTCGTGTTTTTTTCAGCGAAAAGAACACGAACGGTCCCGGTGTTTCACTCTCCTCGGAGGCCGGCGAAGCCTGCTAGAGCAGCTTAAAGGAGGTGCGAATCGGAGCGAAGTACAACCGGCAGTTGTGTGTGTGTGTGTGCTGGATGTTTGTAGTTGGGAGGGTGCATCGGGGTTAGGCCAAGCAACCACAAGGGCCAAGGGTAGATCGGGAGTGCTTGCACAAGACTCGACGGTTCGGACCTGTCAAGTCGAAGACACATCATTGAAGTCTCAGCTCACTTGACTTCAGGTGTTAAACTGTTAGGACTCAATACCTTGCAATTTAATTCACACAGGTTGATCATCGTGCTTTGAAATAGCAGGGCTTGAGCATAGCACGGCATCTTGGTACGCGTTCCATGCACTGGCAAACAATGCGGTAGAAGGTCTAGCATGCCAAGTGCAGAGCTGAGAGTTCTGCCCAACAGGGCCTAACGCATCTCTCAGGCAGTGGCAATCCTGAGTGCGGCAGCCCAGCGCTGCTGTGTTTGAAGATTCCAAGGTGGTAGCCGCTGTGTCTCCAGGGGCCTCCTGAGGTGAATGAAAACGTGTCAGCCGTGCAGGAGGATCTTCCTGTAGTAAGCAGGAGGGAGAAACATTGAGAAACTCAGGGAACATAACGCAACAAGCTACCACAATGAGAACACCCGTGAAATAACCATGAAAACTATGCCTAACCGCCTAACTACAAAACTGACCTAACAAAGCAAACTCTGAAACTTGGGACATCTTAAACCGCAATGATTCTTCTGCCGTTTTGGACAGCTCAACGCCCCGAGACGTTTTGACTTTTTGAGGCCAATGACGTCCAGCCGGCCGGGGGCTACACTGGTCAGAGCAGACGTGTGGGGGGCATGGGGGGGCAGGAGGACGCATCTAGGAAGAACTGAGCGCTTTCCTCAATCCATATCCATCCAAATCCCTATGGTTCCAGTGAATGTCCTTTCCATTGAGCTCATGAATTCATGTTCGAAAACGGTCGTTCAGTTGGAATTGATTCCTTTTCCAAGTCATCGGAAACATCCCCGTCGGAAACTGGAGCTCCATAATCTTTTTCCTCACTCGAGGCTGACTGGCTTCCTGAATGACATAGTGCCCATGCTGTGTCAGGTGCCGCTGAGTCAGCTGACTTGATGTTAGCCAGGGAGTCCTTGATTGCCTTTATAGAACACTGTGGTTCATAAAACGCCGTACTAAACTGTCCTGAATAAAAACCGTCCAACAGTAACAACAGTAACAACAACAACAACAACAGCAACAACGACAACGACAACAACCTGTCCCTGGAAACACTGTACTTCCGAGACGTCCTTGGATGTCTGGAAGGTCAATCTCCGAGCCAAGCGGAGTGACATCTCGGCCCCACTGAGCTGGAAGACCCAACGGTGTGGGAGGCTACGGAGGTCCTACGGAGGTACTCTGAGTGACTTCATGAAAAGCATACGTCCAGATGGGCGAAAATGTGTTTGCCAGGTGTTCGGCAAGCTGATTTGCTACAGAGGCTGCCTGATTTGTTTGCTCATGAGATGAGTCCCGAAGAGAGAATAAAGAGTTGTGTGCTGCAAATTGAGAGTTGAAAAGGAAGGTGGGGCAATGATACTTCTCTGCACCACCTCAGATTCTCAGATGCTGAACGCTTCTGCCAGTGGCAGACTTTGGTACATGCCAGGTGGTGCAGGATTTCTAACAGTATTGCAGTATGGCACGGCTTGAACATGAAGAGACAAAAACAATTTGTATTTGACCAGCCTACTAGGCCCCATGCAGCTTCAACGAACTGGCCTTTGGAAGTTGGCCGTCGAGGTGGGCATTGCTTTTCTTCAGCATTTCGAGGTATGGCATGGACGTGGCACGTGGGACGTGGTGGTTTCAATTTATTGAAAGAAGTAGGTTGAGTATGGTTGAGTAGCTTGCGTCCTCTATATAATCCTCTATGGTCTTGTGCCATGTGCATAATCACTGAAATTCTGGACTCCCTGTAGGAGGTCTAGACGGGTCTAGGTTTAGGCTTTTGTGATACAGAGTCATTGTCCTTAAGATACATGTGTTCCTTCAAATGTTGGGTTCAATACACCTCACGGGCACAAAACAACCAAGGCGAGATCACAGACCATGAGTAGCAGTAGCACAAAGCTCAACAGGAATACACAAGAACCAATCAACCCATTGAAGCTAAAGCGGCGAATGAATCCCTATGGAACAAGCCATTTGCACAGAAGCTGGCATTGTGTGCTTTTGGACATATTGAGATTGAACTGAACTGCTTGCTTGGGATTACAGCACAAGTCTTTACTGTGTGGTTCCCGTTTCCCATGACTCGCCCGTGGCAGGCTTTGTTCTATATCGCCTGGGTCTAAGCACAGAGAAGTGCAGAGGCGTATGATGGTCCTTGTGTGCTATCGACGAGGGTTGTGAGCGTGAACTGTGTGAGCGCAGGTGATGAGCCGTAGATCCGTCCCAGCAGTGTCAATGCTTCTTTGCGCCCACAAGGGTCACGGGAGTTCCATTCAATCTGATCAATGTGTGGAGTTGTGTTTCCGGCGCGCCATCCATGCCGGCCCGCCGAACTTGAAACTCACCGTGAGTGCTGCTGAGAGAGAGAGAGAGAGACACAGAGACACATCAGATTGGCCGAAACCGTCCAAGTCTCGTGACATCTCGTGACTCTTCAGGTCGAAGACAGCCTTTGTGCACTGGAGCGTTGCGCTGGGCGCGCGTGTATGGTGGAGGTGCGCGTTGTGACCATGATTTGATGTTGACCGCTTTGTTAAAATATTACAGCCAGGCAGCCAGGCCCAAACATAATTATGTGTGTGTGTGTGTGTCACAATGTGTTACAGATGCTTCCAAGTGATTCAGAAAAAGATGCAATGCCCATGATTTTGCCTTTGTCAGTGTTTCTGATAAACAGCCTCGAGGCTGACCGCTTTTGGGACGTTTTGTCCAGCTCTTTCGCGAAGGCCCACAGATCAAGAACCCACAACGTGACAAGACATCAGTCACATTGGCATTGGGAGATATTTAATCTGGCAGAATGTGCCCATTTCCGATCACACCTTGAAGAATAAGTTTAGATCGTATGATGTGGCATCGAACGTTTGGGTTTCAAGTTGAAAGCATCAGCCGCGCTAATGCAGCTCCCCCGTTGCCCTGCGGCTGGGACTCAAGATGTAGCATGCTTCTGTTCATGCACCGATCATTGGACATGCTCGCCTGACTGGTCAGCATTGCGACTGTGCCCTTTAGACACTGCCGCTTAGCATTGCTTTGGCATGGGCAACAGCTGTGGAACGCCACTCATGTCCCCCGTAAGGTAGTTGAGGTGCTGGCGTCAGCCGCTCAGGTGGTGTTTTGTGGCATTGCTTTGCAACCCACACAAGAAAGCCTCATTGAATAGCATCATGGCTTTGTGGTCGCACGCATGACCATGAGAATATTGTAGCATTGGGGCTGGTCGGATTCTTCATGTCAATATTGCCTTCACTAGTCGCTAGTCACTCAATACAAAAAAAAATCATGTTCAACCACTCCGGAAAAGAGAGAGAAGCCGTTGGTTCTTACAATTTTCCAGTCATAAACCACAAAGCAAATCCATAATGAACTGATCCTCGTGCACGTGCGTGTCCCTGTCAGCCCCTCATGCTAGTAAGCATAATTGCTTACAAAGACTCAAAAGTCATTTAGATACTGGGCATAGGCGA